CAACAACGGGGTCAACAACGCAAAGTAATTAGTTTCTGCTTTGTTCACATTCACACTAGGCAACTTACATTGGAAAGCCAACTCACTCATCAGCTGATCTTGATCAGCGACACTATTGGCATCGTCTGCATTGGCATCCCTCGAAGCTGATGCCCCTGGCGAGGACGACGACTCATTGTCCTTGGTAACCACACTTGCCGCGAAGACCTCATGATTCAGAGCCGTGTTGGACGGACCAACCCCAGGAGGACGACGAGTGCCGCAATCATGTCCTCTTTCAAAAGGCTTCCAACACTTCACGCATTTGCCTTCACTCCTGGCCTTCTCGAACTTCAAAAACTGACACTCCTTAGATCCATGGGAATCATTCGGACCATGCTGCTTACAATGATACTTCTTGGTTCCACCACTACTCTCCACTCGCTTGAACCCTCCATAGTTACGTCTTCCACTTGATGACATCCCTCTTGACGATCTTTGGTACCCACGACGCTCTTGACGATCCTCACTCGCAGAACCCACCTCATTCACCGCAGCACCTGGCAGCAAAGCTGTTGCATGCGCATAGAAACGGTTGTCATCTCCCAACACATCGCGCGCCACTTGGGTAATTCGATCCACTGTCCACGACTCAGTGCCTTGTTCTCTCACCAAGGTAATGCGCACAGCCGTTTGTACCGGCAAGATTAACGACGCCATGAAGCGATCAGCCACTCTTGGATCATCCAACTGGAGGCCCGCATTGTACACTGCTTGCTGGAATCGACACGAGTAATCCATAATGGATTCAGACGCACTCATCACCATCGTAAACACTAAATCCGTATTGCGACGAGTAATCACTGCAGACCCAAAGCGTCTAGAGAACACTTGCTTCGCTTCCCACCACAAGCTGCACTTCAACAAAGTCTTGTCGACCCACGCACGATCCCCATTGGGCATACACAACGGAAGTAACTTGGCCCACTGCGCTTCCAAGTCCAACGATGATGAATTCAAGATGCTCTCAAAAGTACGCAAGTAATGATCTACGCTCTCAAACACTTCTTCGTTGGGAAAAGCCTTCACCGCTGCAGAAACCAACTGGAATTTGGGTAAATCGCGACGATTCAGAGCCAAATTTTCACTACGCATCATTCCACGACTCATCGCACTTGTCTTGGGCTTGACCACATCCCGATAGCTACGCAATTCCACAATCGCATCCTTATTGCTGCTAATCACTCGCAAAGCCTCATGACGCTCTCTCGCAGTAGGTGCCGTTGCTACCACCTTCAACAATTTCGCATTTTCTTCACGTAATGCCTTCAACGCATGCTCTAATGAAGCTTCTTCACTTGCTTCCATCGCCTCACTCAATGGCTCAGCTGCGGACTTCCCCCCAGATCCAACCTCTCCACTCACACTCTCCAGAGGCTCAAACGCAGACAAAGCCGAAGAACCACCACCAAGTTCAGCCATCAATTCGTCTTCATCAAGCACTTGACCGTCTTGAGACAGAACCTCGGTAAGACCATCCATAGAAGGATTGAGATCGAAATCTTCCAGCGTAACAGGAAGACCAGCCGCAGTAGCCCCAGGGACTTGAATCGAACCATTTGCTGAACCAGCAGTAGAATTAGAGGACACAGAACCAGCAGACATTCTTGATTTAGGATTGGGATAATATAATGCAATATATAGAGGTACAGTAATTAATTGTAAAAAATGTTTAGAATAACAAAATATAGACAGAGTAAATACAATTAGAACTGAATATATTTATTATGTTATTCCAAGATTGAATAGGGATCAAAACTAGTGTAGATATCAAAGGTATTTATAGTTATTTGACAGTGCCGCAGCAATAGGACCTTGATCTTGAATGCGGGATAATTGTATAAGCCTTGAACCAGTAACGAGGATGTGCTGCATCAGAACTCATGAACCACCAGTCAAGGATAAACAACAAAGATGATCCAGGATAGAATGTTCTTCCTAATAGCTTTGACGGAAGAACATTTGTCGGAATTGAAACCCACTTCCAGGGACGAAAGACCATAGGCTACCACTCTCTAGGAACCAGGATATAGATTAGCCATTTGATGGCACCACTCATGTTCCTTCGTGCTGCTTGAATAAAGACCTCTCGCTTCTACTATGCATCTCAGCTCATTCTCAGATCCTCTTATGTAATAAACGACGCTTAATACATTTGCCTCTCAGAGATGATCTATATCCTCAACAGCCACTGGTTCATCAAGTTCAAGTGATGTTCAAGGTCGAACATTTGTCTCGAAGGGGGGTGATGTCAGGGTTGAAGGGTATTCTGACAGTGATTTAGATCTGCAGGATATCATTGACAGACTAAACACAAACAAGAATAAGAAGCGCAGGTTTAAACCTAGAGCGCCAGCTACCAGGAACATTAAACAGCGATTAACCTGGATAGCGCACAACATTACACAAACTATATTGGATAAAATCAATGTTCAAATCTAATATTAATAAAGCACCTTTTTATCCATTCAACTAAAAGGCTATATACATTCCTGCATAATCCCTACATCTATATCTATATCTATCTCGATCAGATCTCAGATTGCATATACTATCTCTACGTATTTGCATCTGACAGATAGTATCTCCTCCTCAATGGTCCAACGGCTAGGATTTATCGCTTTCACCGATACGGCCGGGGTTCGACTCCCCGTTGGGGAACATTTTACCTCTCCTCCATTTTGTAGTGCATGTAGCTCTCTTTTGCTTTTTGTTTTGATAGCGTTAGTCTTGGATCCATAATGCGAATTATTTTTTTTTGTATGGAGATGCAGATTTTGCAGGACAACTATTCGTGGGCTACTCTTCTAGTATATAGTATATCATATTGAAATTTTATTTGACAACTGTTTGTGCCTGATATGTTATTCATGCAAAAGAGCATTTCTCACTGACTTTTAACACCAGATACATCACGTAGAAAGATGCCCTTTCATGTCCTTTCTCGGCTCTTTCTTTTTTATCATATTCAAAATGCCAGCCTAAAATAATTTACCTCTAGAGTCGTTACCAGCCATTTTCTCGTTTACTAAACAACTCGATAAGTCCTGCTCCAAACAGTATGTATATGTTGGAATCAAGCAGCAAACGAGGATCTTGTATCAGCATGTCTCGATTGTTACTTACAGGTGATTTATACTATTTGAAGGATGCTTAACCAAATCTAACAATAATGGAAGGTTGATACAGTCAATTTGGCTTAGTTGCTTCACGTTTGATGGCAAACAGGTTATATAAGATTTGTCCAAATTTGAAAATGGTGTCATTACATGGCAGTTTTCATAAACATTGGTGCAAAACCGTTTACGGCCTAACAAAAGATGGCTCTTTATCAAAATTACAACAACTGATGGATGCTTGTTCTTATTTTCATTATTTTTATTCTACGTTACCACAAGATTACAACAAATGTATGCATCAGTTCAAGAATTCATTAACTCATTTGGTGATCTGTGATAGCGTTGGAAAATACTTTGGTTAAAGGACGTCATTAAACCAATTTAACAGGCTGGTCGAGCGTTCTGGAACCTTTTCTTGCATTGAATTATTGGATATTCGAGTTGTAAGTATGACATATTTGTATGGACTAGATGCCATTTTCCAAAACATAGGGCCCTCTGTTAGCAACATTAGGATTGAAGTTCAGAACGGCAATCCGTCATATTCATTGAATCATTTCGATTTCCAATCAATTGCTTCAAGGCCTCATGCTAAAAGATTGAACATAGGTGACAAGGATTTGTTGAGAGGAGAGGATATGGAGTATATCATAAAATTCATCATGTTACGACAGCTGAGCCTTTACTCAAGCATATCATATCCTGCGGAGCATGTCAGGATTTCCTCATCTCAATATCTAACAGCGTTACCTCTATTCACAAAGTATTTACAGGATATCCAATCAGTATCACTAGATTACTTGACGTTGTCAAAAAAAGCTGTGCTGGCCTCATTGCCCCATACAAAGAAATGTGCAAACGTGATCTTTTTAGCAATCTGTCACAACGACACAATAGACACCAACTGTGTCAGATTCTTGTTTAGCACTTCAGAAAAAAGATTAAATTTAAACATACATCACAGCAGGGATCACAGACGAGTGCATTTTAACTTTGTTCGGTCGAGATATTGAAAATCTGTATATCCGAAAGGAGAGATGCTATCATCAGCTACACTTGACGAACGAAACAATAGCTGCTACGTAGAGAACCATATTGAGCAAAATACCTGTGACAAGGACAGCCTTCTCATATCAGGCCTCGAAGGTCCAGCCAATCGACAAAAATTCGAGTGCTGATATATTACGGAAGGTAATAGAATCAACGGGAAAGCTCTTTCTGGCATGGTTTAGCATATCAAACACATTGAAAAGTTTGTAGTAATATACGATGTATTATGATTGAACATCAAGTTGCAAATTGGCACGGAAGTCTTTGAAGAAAAGGTGATGAATGCGTTCAAGGCAAGTTCTGGCAGTTTCGCACTTGGTGTGCCATATGTCCCCGATCTTATGGTCAAAGCTCGCACTAATACAAAGACGGTCTATTGCAGAACTCAAAATCATAACCTAATAGAGGAAGGTAGCCTATTTCAGCCATTGACAAGAGACCAATACTTGGAAGCTACAAGAAGTTTGCAATTTATTAGAAAGAAATGCGTACATTTACCAATCAGTATGTAACTGCAAATATACAATTAGCTAGCTATCAGTTAATAAAACGTCCCCATACCTACCATTGCATCCAGCATCGATGATAAAAAAAGTATCGTCATATTTATTACCAACTTGCACATTCTGGCCTTGTGCGTCTCAGGCACAATATGAATGTCCAAGTCGAATGTAATGCCGCCTGAACTCGAACATCAAGCCACCCAGAACGAAACTAATTCAAGTACCATCCACCACAGACTTTTTTTTTTTTTCTTTGTTGGCATTTAGTTTACCCCACATTATAGACACAATGCTGCGAATTATTAGACCCACCATTATCTCGACAAGAACACATTGCATTCGATTTTACAGCACAGCTAATGGAGCTAGCAGCAGCACCATAAAAAAAGAGCCATTATCGCCCTTGGGAAAGCATTTGCATGATTCGATTAAAGTAATAAAGAAGCTCTTGTAACCAGGGTGTATCAGAGATTGACGAGATAAACCATAGGTGACAGGCCCACTCACTGTATCTCATTTCATGAGACAAGTACTTGTGAATCCACTGAGTGGATATTACATGTTGGGCGATGTGTTTGGTAAACAGGGTGATTTTGTCACATCTCCCGAGATTAGTCAAGTATTTGGTGAGGTAAGTCTCCTTTGTATTCATCAAGACAAGCAGGCTCTTATAGTTATGGCTTAGTTGTGTGGCGTATGGTACCTCACTGAATGGATGAGGTTGGGTCAACCCTCAAAAACACAGATTATCGAATTTGGACCTGGCAGAGGCACATTGATGAGCGACATGTTGAGAGTAAGTTGAGCCTATCTATAGACATGGAAGAGCAAGATTTATCTCATCAATCAATAGACTTTATCACAGTTCCCTTACTTTTATAAAACTTTGACGGATGTCCATTTCATAGAAGCAAGCCCTGGACTTCGTAAAATGCAAAGAGCTGCTCTGGTAGCAGGATCAGAGGAAAAGGATGTTGTTCGAGTGGAAGGAAACAAGGATGAGGCACCTATTGAAACAATCACAAGAGACGATGGTGTCAGAGTATCATGGCATGATGGTATTGAAGTGGTACCAGGTAGGATGATGATAGTAGGATCGAACAGAACAGTACGCTGACGGGTATGTAGATCAATGGTCTTTTATCATGGCGCATGAATTCTTTGATGCATTGCCTATCCACAGCTTTGAGGTAAAGTGTCTTTTGGGTATTGATGATGTATAACTAAATAGAAATGATAGAAAACTGGCGATGAATGGAGGGAGTTAATGGTTGATATGGATGACACAGAAGAAAGGTACAATCAGGGAATCATTTATCAATGGAAGCCATCTTATTGACACACATACATACAAAATATAGTGAGCATAATTTCAGAATTGTGAAATCACCCAACCAAGCCGCCATGTCTACAACACTCTTATCAGACAAAAAATTCGAAGCATTCAAAGATGGAGATCGAGTGGACGTGTCGCCTGATTGCTGGAATGTGATGGATAAAGTAGCAAGATATTTGAGCAAAAACGGTGGTACAGGATTAGCTATTGATTATGGCCAAGATTATGTTCAAGGGGACACACTTCGGGTAAGTGTCTGAATTTGCTCTTAGAACCATTCAAGGGTAGCTCAATATCGAGGAACAAATAGGCTATCAAAGATCACAAAATCATCCATCCCATGTGCGACCCTGGAAGTGCTGATTTGAGTGCAGATGTCGATTTCAGCTTCTTGAAGAAAGCTATTCAGAGCGGATCAGGTAAAAGTGTCCATAAATAGAGATATTCCAAAAATGAAGCTTATACGTTTATTAGACATCACTGCATATGGGCCGATTACCCAAAAAGACTTTTTACAAGCTCTTGGCATACAAGCACGCATCGAAACACTATTCAGGAACGCAAAGAACTCGGCTGCCAGAAAATCATTGCTGGATGGCGCTGAAAGATTGATGGATCCTGAGGCGATGGGCAGAATCTATAAAGTGTTAGCATTTGCCAACAATGCTGGCCACAATAAGGAACCAGTGGGATTTGAGAATAAATAAAATTAGAATTTATCGTCAGTACCTCTTTGTATGGTGTAATTGAGCCTGCAGAGTTACACTATGGTCTGCTGCCAGATCAAGTTTTCAACATCCGTGGATCAAAGTTTCTTAATGCAAGCCTCTCTCTCCATTAGCATGATTGACAGATCATTATCCAATGACCAAAAAAGCAAATAGTTGCCTAATTGAGATTATTACACTAATTTAGGAAATTATAAATCATGTTAGTATAATAGATGAGATAGACAAACGCAATATTGCATTTGATAAGTTGATATAATTTCAAATATAATACACAGAGAGAGTGCTAGAGCTAGAGGTACCTGGCATGGGTATAAGAGATAGCAGGAGGAGGATGATGGTAGGCATGAATAGGCAGAATAAGTATAAATGTATCCAGCACAACATCTCACTGTAGCGCACAAAATGTCCAACATTCACCCTTAATAACGCCATATCGTTATATTTCATCTTGCCAATACTTGCAACATGGTAATAAAGAACACAAAAAAAAAAAGAGATATGATACAAGCAGTGTGTGATATTTCGTATCTCTCTTGTGATTTCTTTTTTGATATAAATATCAAGCAGGTTTTGCCCTCTCCATCCTTTCCCTTCACTATACCTGCATTGTTCCTACAACACCATGTCTTCACTTAAAGAAGATGCACCTAGTGAGAAACTAGAGAAAGTCAATCCTGATTTCAATGAAAAAGACTATATTGATACACTCCCTTTTGATGATGTTGACAAGTTGGATGACTTTTCAGAGCAGGATACCAAGAAGCTGCATAATGAAGAAGACCTGGAGATTGCCATTGTCAATGATGTTGCATTGACTGAAGATGATACCTCACTGAGACCAGTGACCGTGCGATCTATATTCATTGGCGTGGTAAGTGGCTTTCTTCTGTTTGATCCCAGGAATACTGATCATTCTACAGATGTTGGCATGTCTCAGTTCATCGATATCACAACTCATGGTGTTCAAGCCTGTGGGTATTCCACTTACTGACACTTTCATGATGATTTTAGCCTATGTGTTTTGTACATTTTGGGCTCGTGTTGTCCCCAAGGGCGGCTGGCTCAACCCTGGACCTTTCAACATTAAGGAACATACCTGTATCTATGTCATGATTTCTGCTGCCAACACTAGTGCTTATGGTACCTGGATTTTATCTGCTCAAGAGCTCTTTTATCAAGATACACCTGGTGCTGCAGGCTCCATCTTTTTGCTGATTGCTACTCAATTAGTAGGTTACGGTATTGCTGGTCAATTACGTCCCTACCTCGTTTACCCTGCCAACATGACATGGCCTACCAGTTTGCCTGTGGTTTCCTTGATCAAGACGCTGAATACAGACAAGCAAGAAGCCAAATGGAGAACCCGATTCTTTTTCATGGTATTCGGAGCTATCTTTGTCTATGAATTCATTCCTCAGTACATGTTCCCCATGCTCGGTGGTATCTCTATCATCTGCCTTGCCAAGAATGATAGCAAATGGGTGCAGCGTCTGTTTGGTGGCCTAGGCACCAACGAAGGCATGGGCATGTTCCAGCTCTCGTTTGATTGGAATCTCTTGACCTCTTACAAACCACTGTATATCCCACTTTGGATCCAATTGAACGTCTATGGCGGCATTGCTTTGCTTTGGGTATTGGCTCCTTTGTTGTATTACTTTGATGTTTGGAATGCTCAAAGTTTTCCCTACCTCTCCAACTCTATCTTTCAAAGATTCGACAATGGTACTTCTCGCATCTATCCTCAGCACGAGGTGTTGAATGCTGACAACTCGCTGAATTACACTCGTCTGGAAGAAGTGGGAAGACCTCAATTTGCTACTGTTTACGCTACCAACTACATTTTTATTAATTTTGGTGTCACTGCTACTATCACTCATGTTGCTCTGTTCTACGGTAAAGCTATTTGGGCTAATTTTAAAAAAAGCAAGGCTTTCAAGGAAACTGAGGAAACCGATATTCACATGAAATTGATGTCTGCTTATAAAGAGGTAAGAAGAGACACCATGCTCCAATGCCTTCAGCATAGACTCATTGTATTCTAGGTTCCAAGCTGGTGGTACTATGTGATCTATGTTTGTGGTATTGCTCTCAACATTGGTATCGCGTATGCCAACAAGAGTCAGCTGCCTTGGTGGGGTGTCATCTTTGCCATCTTCCTCTCCACTATTCTTTCATTACCATTGAATCTCATCACTGCTGTCACTGGTTATGGCTTTGGTCTCAATGTGCTCACTGAAATGATCTGTGGCTTTATTCTTCCAGGTCTCCCAGTTGCTAACATGTACTTTAAGACTTTGGGCTACAACACAATGTCGCAAGCTGGCGTTATGGCTCAAGACTTAAAGATTGGTCATTATCTTAAAGTGCCACCTAGAATGACATTTATGCATCAAATTGGCGGCACCATCATTGGCTGCATTTTCAATTATATTGTCAATGCCAGCATTACCTCTTCAAAGCGTGATATTTTGCTAGATCCTGTTGGAAACCAGTTCTGGAATGGTGCAACACCTCAAACCATCAACTCTGCTGCCATCACTTGGGGTAATTATGCTATCATACAATATTGACTACAGATGTATAACATGTTGCTTTCAATAGGCGCAATTGGACCTTTAGCTATGTTTGGCCCAGATACTCAGTACTACATCTTTTTGTGGGCTTTCATCATTGGGTTCTTCTTACCTGTGCCCGGTTATCTTTTGCATAGACGTTTCCCCAATGCTGGTTTTGACAAGTTTAATATCCCCATGATCTTAACTGGCATCTGTTTCATGCCAGGTACCAATACCTCTTGGGTCACTGTGTCCTTTGTGCTGGTTTTGGTGTTTCAAGGATACATCAAGAAGAGATACAGTACTTGGTTTGCTAGACACACGTACCTTATCTCAGCTGCTTTGGATTCAGGTACCTCTTTGATGGTTTTCTTTGTTTCCATGGCATTGCAAGGTGGCGTGAACGGTATTACCTATGAATTTCCCATCTGGTGGGGTAACCGCGCAGATGCAGATTACATGGATCAATGCTGTCTGAACTGCTAAATTTCTATGGTTCCAACTTTATTTATATCGTAACAAGTAATCATTACATAATAAACTTTGAGAAAATTGATCTTACTATTATAGATGTTGCAATGATAAAGTAGGCTCACTGGCCATATTATATATAAAACTGCACAAAAAAAAAAAAAAAAAAAAAAAAAAAAGAGTTGCCAGGCCAAGTTGTAGCGGCACTCTTTGATACGCAATTCTTTTTCTTAATTGTTAGTTTCAATTTGCCTTCATGAGGACATTGATCTTGTCACCAGCCAACACTGCTGGCCGAAACTCAATTAGTCTATTCTGCTATATTCGACTAATCACAACACTCTTCTTTTTATTCTAGAAAAAAAATTGGTTTGCTCATAAAATGATATGCATGTTGTCAAGCTATTTTAGTTGCTTGTAACTTGTGATTGCTGCTTATCGTCACTACCACCCTCATCATTGGTATTAGCAAACGTCTTCTTTTCCACTGAAGGCGAGGTGGGAGGTGTAGGTATCTTTCCTTCACTCGTCGTGGTATTGGCAGTGGCTGCCTTTTGCTGTTGTTCTTGTTCATGGAGCTGTGCCTTCTTCTTTGCATGCTCTATAGCTTGCTTTCTATCTGTTGCTACAGAATCAATGAATTCAGGAATGTGGTCCAAGATGGATTGGCAACAAAGATCCAGGTGTTGAGGCTGTTTAGAAAGCCTAAATTTGAGCGCATGAAACAACAGATAACTAATCAACTCTGCAGGGCTGATGTCAAGTGGGATGTTTCTCTCCTTTGAGACTTGATGTGCCGTATCTCTCATACGCTGAAGAAGCTCATTCACAGTGACAGAAAGCATTGGGTATTTTTCGGTCGGCAAATCTTCCAGTGCTGTTTCTTTCTCCTCCATGCAAAAGAATCTCCAAAAGATGAGCTTGGCCTGATAGTCGTCAACATAACCCATATGAAGCTTCAAGTCAATTCGTCCAGGTCGAATAAGTGCAGGTGGAATTGTGTTCATGTCGTTGCAAGTCATGAAAATAACTAAGCAAAAGAAAAAGGTCAGAGTACTTGAGATCCATTGAAAACACTTGTAAAATACCTACTCGACTCTTCTAGACTAGCTATACCATCCAGCGCGTTGAGAATGCCTGATACTGACACGGAATTTTTCTTTTTGTTCATCTTGTTGTCATCCTTCTTCCCTTGTAGTCCCTCATCAAACTGGTAATGGTCCACATCCTCAATCACCAAGATACAACTCTTGGGCAATTGGGCCATTGCAGATGATAAACTTTCATCATCTGAAGCGGCAGAGAGATTCAATATAGCCACATTCATCTTGACTTTACTTGCTAATGATTGAATGAAGGATGTCTTGCCTGTGCCTGGTGGTCCATACAGCAAGTAACCTCTTCGATAGGGAATACCACGATCATTGTACCATTCCTTGGAATCTTTAAATGTGAGGATGTCTAACACATGTATTACTATCATGTTTGCCATTAAACCCCCCCCCCTCTCCCTCCTTTGCTTACCATTCAAAATCCTCTCTTTCTCTCCCTTCTTTAATACAACTGAATTGAAAGATCGAATTTTTCTATATCCATGTTCCCTCCATTGATTATCATCATCCCATCCATGATGATTAAAGTTGCACTTGTAGATAATGAGCTGCAATAAACATGTTACTACATAAGCTCCATCCCAATCAAAGGGCTTTTACCTTGTTCTTTCTAGCATTGTAATATTCATCAACCCAGTCTTGTATGAATGATCTCAATTTAGGCAAATCTCGTGATCGCATCCTATCGAAAGGTACATGAATGAATAAGCACAATGCACTCACATTCTCTCGCTCTCTCTCTCTTCAAAATCAACCACAACTTACTTGATCTCAATAGTATCCGTTCTCATATTACCCATACTCAAAAAAGGGCTTCTGACACTATCACTGGATGGCGCTTCATCCTTGCGATTCACATAGATGAGATGCCCTTTATGTTTGATGGCAAATTCACGATACTTTTTCGGAATCAGGTCAATGATGGGCTTGCTATCTTGATCAGTTTGCAGGGACCTTCTGTAGTACGAGTAATGGGTGTTCTTTTGCATCTGATCTGCTGGATTTGCATAGCCCGTCTTTCCTCGCACATGTCGCAGTGTGTCAATACCCTCGAAATGCTTGGTGACATATTCATCCACAGGAGTAAAGATGAGCTCGTCGTCTCCAATCACAACAGACACATAGAACATCTCTTCCTTGATTTGTTTGCAGTAGTCGTAAAATGCCTTGGTTGCTTGAGAGATGGCGGGGATAAGTGACAGAAAGACGCACACCAGAACAGTATCGTTGCCTGCATAACGTTTGAGAATAAGCAGGGTTCTTTCGCCCAACAAGTTGGCCCAGAAGCTTTCATTGATAATCACTTCGAAAACGTCAAGTAGACGATTTAGGAAATAAGATGCAAACATGGCAACAGTAAAGAGAAAGGCAGGAATAAGAGAAAAAACGATCAGACATGAGAGAGGCATCTCCTTTTTATACTTTTTTTTTTCTCTTTGTCTTTGTCTTTCTCTTTTCTCGGATGTTACTTAAAAGGTAGATTTCACAGTGCCACATCTTTCTCAGGTTGTAACATGATCATTCTGGATTGTTTGTTTTTTCTTCTTTATTTCAGTATTTAGTGAGAGATACGTACTAAAATAAGTTCTTAAAATCATGATGCATGTATAAGACCCAAGTGTTCCGCAGTAAATATATTTTGTTAGATGTGCTTAGCCCACACTATTCACCAAGCTGAAAAAAACAACATCAACACTCGGTAATTAACCTAAAATAGCCATGTATCAAAGAAACTGTGGGCTATGCTGTGGCACTTTTTCATTAAAAGTACTAAGTAAACTAAGTGTTTGCCCTACAAGAAATATTTTGTGGCACTTTTGTCTATTTATCCCTAATTAATGACACAATTCCTTGTAGACCAAATGATTTTCTTTTTTATGTCATGAACATGCATTAGCATAGATCTATTTTTTTTTTTTTTTTTGCTTTCTTGGCTCATCATGATCATAACATTTCGTTTTCTTCCTTGTTTTGAAATTGATTCTAGACCTTGGGCATATATACAGTATATATTCTAGATTTCAAGGCATTTTCTGTTTGTACCTAAAAAAAAAAAAAAAAGAAGTATCATGCAAACGTTTGTTGCATGTAACTCCAAAACAAGTTTCTCATCAAGCAAAGCTCCTCTGTGAACAACTTGCGGTTGTGTTTGTCATTCACAGCAGAGAAAACGACCATGTTGACATGTAAGCATATTTGATCCAAACTCAAATGGGCGGACACTCATAACACATGCACTTGTGTAAATGAAAGGCTCTTGATTTGATACAATCGATGGATCTCCATATCGTCCATGCTTTTTATATAATGTCTCTTTATTAAAATGAGTTTTCTCATTAAACGCTATGCCAAGATTCATTATCTGAATCTTCTGTTGTGATGACTTTCTCTGTTGTAAGAGCAGTAGTAGCTGCCTCGATAGGCTTGTCCTGACCATCCATCACCACGACAGCCGGTTGTTTGTCTTGCTGCTCGGCTGTTGTCATATTGGTGACAGTGGCATGGCTGCTTTGCAACAATAGAGCAGAGTCAATGGATTCCGTTTCCTCAGATGTAGATGACGATGACAGTGAAGCTGAGGATTTTTGCTGTAGTTCAGCAGCCCTTGCTTCAACCTTTTTCCAAGCCAATCTTCTCTCCTCTTTTAGTCTTGATTCAGCATTTCTAACAAGCTCGAGTTAGCCAAGTCTACTCTCTCTCTCTCTCTCTTTCTCTCTCTCTACAAATGGCAGGGCACAACAACAGACTTACTCTAACGCATCCCGTTTGTATTGATCTACCAATTTCTCAAACAGATCCTGATCCATCTTCATCAACAATTGCAACGTGTTATACACCAATTGATGTATTGTTCTATTCCAATGTTCGTTTGAATGCTTGTAAATGGAAGGAAAGATGATTGGCATGATGATATCGATATGGTCGTCCATGATGCGAATCACATCCTCATAAGTATAAAAGTACAGAGCCCGCTCTGCCACCTGAAAATGAGGGCTTGCTACACATGCTGCTAACCGTTGAAAGAAAGGCACCATCATGTCTTGATCGAATCCGTTCTCGGTGACGTCCAAGATCTCTTCAAATTCGGTCAAGAATATCACTTCTTTGGCGCTGTTGACTTTGGGCCAGTATCGCATTAATCCCTGAATGACGCCAGGCACAAGATCAGGATCTTTTTCTAAGAATTGGACCACGCAATAAGTGAGCTGAGGGCTGTAGGTGGCCAAATGAGCGGGTTTGTGAAGTGGTATAAGGACTTTGTGCAGAAAAGTTTTGTGTTCCTTTTTCAAGGGCAGTGCAAACCCATTGATGATGCTATGGAGGAGGGGCGTGCTGTATGAGTTGCATGTGTAGCATGGTCCACTTGTCTCTAGAGGACTTACCTGCCGAGAATCTCTAATAGTTCTGCCACACCATTAAAGTGCTCCGTTTCATATATGAATTGAAAGAATATATTGTTGATAGATCTTCTAATAAATGCTCGTAAATTGAGAAATTTGCCGTAGATTCTGTGTAATGTTGTTTTTAGAAAGTCTCTTTCTCTAGGATCTTCACTATCGAATAATTCCAGCAACTATTCGCATGGGCTTGATTAGTATGATTCCGTTCTTACTCTATCCTCCCTTTTTCTTACCTGTAGAATAAACTTTTGATCAATGTACTTTCTTGCAATTTGAGGATTGAAATCTTGCGATTCCACAAACCTCAAAAAGAACTCGTATACCAATTGAAGATGAGGCCAAGCCGTCTCTAAAGCAGGTTCATCTTCTTCTGGATCATAGCCTTCATTCACTGTGGATGTTTGAGGTGAGATGGTTCTGAATGTGTTGACTGTAAACATGCGAATGACATCAGGATAAATGAGATCCGAGATGGCTCCTCTTGATGTAGCGACATATTCCAACATTTCTTGTAATTCTTGCCTTTTGATCTCTTTGTTTCTAAGCTCGGACGATGGATCATTAAAGTCGAATAGTACTTGGCATTGTTGAAGCTTTAATATAAATAATTCTTGACGTTTTGAAGGAGGGACATCTATAGATATACCAAGGGCATCAGCCTACCCATCAACAGACATACACACATACACACTTACCATTAAAGTAAGGACTTTTTTCAAGATCTGCTTTCTCTCTGGTGGCGTATATTCTAGAAGAACGTTGACGACGAGGAGTACGTACAGCAGGTATGGTATCTTTAGGAGTGTCTTTTAAAATCTGCTTGGTAACTTCTGCTGAACGACCCGGTGTGGTAGGACTGACTAGAATATTATGCTGCTGCTGATGATGATGTATGGCATTAATTGATTGTAGCACCATACAATATACAAGTGTCTATACTTACATTAGTGCTATTCTGTACGAGTGATGGTGACGATGAGGGTGATGATAAAGTGGTTGCTGGTGGTGGTGGTGGTGGTGGTGGTGTAATGGCTTGAATATGAGGTGTATTAGTATTAGTATCAGTAGATGGTATTTTATTGTTGTTGGCAGATGGTGATCGAGTCGTCGATGAACCAGTTGAAGAACGAGATTTGCTGGTTGCATGTTGTTTTGTGGTTGCTGATGCTGATGATGATGAAGAAGATTTGGTATCCTTGTGTGATGTTCTCCGTGTAAGCTACAAGTGAGGTATTGTCAGTATATGCTCGCAACAAGAACAATGGGAACAGGCACACTTACGACTCCCTTTAAACCTTTCATCATTTTTACTTGTTGCTCAAATCCACTAGGCTGTAGAGAGTGCTGAGTGTGAGAGATAGGAATAAAAAGAGAAGAAAACGAGAGAAAAAAAAGGAATAAACACCTTCTTCTTGTACTCCAGAAAGAAGATATACACACAGAGAGAGAGAGAGAGAGAGAGAGGGGGGGGACTGACTCCTAAATTTGGATCAAACACTGACGCAACAGCAAGGCAATAAAATAGAGATATTGTTGATTTATACTATGATACATACAAGCATTGTATACAAATCCACAGTGCTTGCATCAAGTCAATCCATAGGACCAGGATGTCTTTTTCTTTTCTTTTTTTTTTTTTTTTTTTTTTTTTTACTTGAGATTCAACACAAATGGATACATGCTATGAAATGCATTACACGTGCCAGTAACCTTCTTTTACACACACTTGCAACACAGCGATGCAATGTAGCTTAAAAATACACACGTAGTATCTTGATTGAACATGTGTGTTGGTCTTGTTTTTTTTTTCTATACAGTTCTGGAACTGCTATCACCAACACGGGAAATCATAGACGATGTATGTCTGTTTTCGACATCAAACCACACAAGTAGCACTAATCACCCAAAAAACATTTTGCAGCCAATGATGCATTGATACGCTGTATAGGATAGTTTCCACACGTTTCTGTGCATAATTTTATTCCACAAGTACAGATACCACGCAACGTTCAACTTGGCCTTGCTGCTGCTGGTACTGATCCATTGGCTTGACAGTTTGGCTAAACGGTAGACGGTATACGCGAGCAGCACCGTGATTGACAATACTACAGCGTGCATGTTCAAGTGATGTACCTTGATCCAGCTCACTCTGGCTTTTGCGTCTAATCGATAATTTAGCGTACCGTTTTCATGCGTAAACAAGGCCTCCTCTTCCACTACATCTGCTCCACGAAGAGCACCATGTTTGCTCTTGATCTGTGTCAGTGCCTTGAACTTGTCTGTGTTTCTTTGAAACTGGCCCAATGCATCCTCGACCACTGTGGCAATGAGTGCACTCACTTCTTGTTGTGTGGATCTATAATCCAATCGCATGCCTACGCCAAATTTCTCCACTGTAATCGCATTGGGCATCTGATCCACAAAGAACGGATATACAATCAAACGCACGCCACCAAAATAGGCTTCTTGAATGGATCTTGTGCCTCCATGCGTAATAAAGACCTGCGTAGAAGGATGGCTCAAGATGGTAAATTGAGGTTCCCAGTCGATAAACTGAATATCATTGTCGGCGGAAGCTCCCTTGATAAAGAATTTGTGTACCTGGTAGGTCACATTGAGTGACAACAATTTATGGAAATAAATGCTGATCTATCCCTCGTGTAGCCCAAATAATACCGTCCAAATGCTTTGTTTCATACACCTCTAGCAAGCCAGTCAATGTCGGATGCATTGGCTTTCACCAATTGTCCAAAGGCGATGTAGGCTGTTTTTTTTTGTGTGTGTGCCCAAAAATCTCTCCAATGCAGGCGTCAGTTTCTTCAGGCACAATGGGCCTCACAGGACCAAATCAATCTACTTTGATCTAAACAATTCGACCTGCTTAAGATAGCCTCATACAGGCACATCAGTTTCTTTTCTCTGATCTTTGCGGTTGCATTGATAAAACTTACCATCTTTAAAATCGACGGCCATTCCAATGGCAAACTCTGTAAAGAAATCAATAGTAGAGATATTTCTAATATGATCAATCAAATGCGTCTGTTTAGCAATCTCGTAAGGTTTCGCTATGAACATCGTTTCAATCGATGGAAAGTTGCTGCCGAGTTTTGGCTGAGCCTAATAAGAGGTATTAGTAGCAGTTGCGGGAAACGAGTACAGCCGTAGTATAGCCCCATGCCTTTGTTACGAAAATGGTAGTACGGTTTCTTGATGTCAGTTCATCAAGGATAGATTACACTCAGTTGATGTGAGATGCTCCATATAAGCTAAAACCAAGCGACATAGAATTAGCCAGACAGTTGTTAATACAGCGGCTCGCATATTAAAAAAATGTATGGGGAAATCAGAAAGAAAGAAAGAGAGAGTCAATAGTGAGATCAAACAAGCTAGACCTAAACAAACAAGATGCATACAACTGTAGTACAAGATGAGCATGATAAAGTATAGATTTATTAGAGTATCTGATACACTTTGGCTGGTTCTCTGTAGGTATTTCAACTATCTGCTTTATGTGAGAGTTCCTCCCTAAACGACCTGCAAGTTTGGTTTTGGCGCTTCCATGACGCCCCACGTCTGTATCCATAGTAGTAATCTTTGAACGGGTAGATAATGTATTTGCCTTACCTCTTACTACTTGTGCAAATGCTACAATGCTTGATGTTGTACCTATAACTACATGGTATTACATTCAATCTTTAAAATTACAATTATGCAACAAAATTTGGCGGTCGACTTCATCTTTACTCCTCCTTCTCACATTCAACGGATCAACCTCTGTGATACCATGTTTGCAGTCTACTTTGCTACTTTGTCATTTATACTTATAGCCGTTTTATCTCATAGTGAGTGATTTCCGTGGCTAACTGTCTTGATTAAATGAGAGAAACGTTATATCTTCTTGTTGCAGTGTGTGTGAAATTGAGGTGTTCAGCGAATTCGTAATGTCAATCATCGCCATGTCTATCAGCAAGCTGAACTCGATGGGGAAAACATGTGGCAAAAGATTTATGATTTGTCAAATCCACCAGGCATAGGAGTGCGGCAAGCATTGTGCAAGGCATATACCATAGCAGCCTTGGGTTTAGCAATGGAGGAAAGGTCAAAGTTGACAAAGTGGGCTGTGCGCACAGTGATTTTACAGAGCTCCTCGACGACACAATAGCCAGGATTCTTAGCTAGGTGGAAACTAGGGCGGTAAACATGTTTCAAAAAACCATAGGTTCTCAAAGCAGGGGGCAGCAGGCAATATATCTTGATTAGCCTTGGACAAGCAGCAAAAAAAAACGTGTTGGATAGTAACCACATACTTTGTTTGGCTCTGGCATAACATTGAAAAAAGTGGATATCAAAGAATTGATGTGAGCATTACCCTTCTACACTCAAATATATGCAAAACACAGCGAAATACGGATGCTTTTGAGTCGTTTTTTCCTGTTTTAGAAGCTGTTTGAGACTACCAGAATAGTACCAAACGACTGTTCTTGCCTAGCACTTGCTTACTGACACCATTGCTCAACTTTTTTTGGGACCAAAAAAAAAAAAATGGCCAAAAATCGACCTCAAACCATGAGGTACCCCTCATGGAAAAACATCAAGAAATCAAACAATCGCATTTTTGTCGTCCAAAATGGAGACTTTCATTATGATATGTATTAAGTCAAAATGATTCCATTAATCCAGGGCAACTTCTGAAACCATGTTTGTAACACCTTACTATGCAGAACCTCAACATTTTCGCCAAAACCATGATTTCATATTTTCTTGAATTGCTCTCTAAGTTTAACCAAAACATCTATTAATATTAGCACCGTTGGATGCGCCTTGAAAAGTACTGCAAGAAAGCATAAAGGAGTCCTGAATGACCATCACAATTCTTATAGTCGGATATAGCAGAATAGACCAATTGAGTTGAGAAAGAGCAAACTCTGGCCAATCTAGAGCAGATCTATAGTGGCGATTTAATTAGCTCTAAGGGAGGGGGGTTACATTCAGTGCCTGCCCCCATTATAAAGGCAATCGAAATTATTGAGATTTGCCCAAACTGAAATCTTTTATACAGGATTGGGTGAATGAGTACTATAATTCTAGAAAGAGCAAGGCAAGACACTTTTACTGTATATCACAGGGCTTGTATATCAACATGTGTTTTGTAGCTTATTATCTACAAATGCAGCTTCAGAGGTCATGGATGGGATGACAATAGGCAATGCAAGGAAGGAATATGGATATAGGAAGAGTCGATCATTCAATTCGGTGGCACTGAGGGAAGGGGAGCAAGACAGGGTTTTATATGGTATGCTGATGGCTTTTATACAGTGTCTTATGCAATACTTTAATAACTATCCACAGACATTCTCACATTCAAAGAGTCAAAAGGATGGTATAATAATCGTGGAATACCTTATCGCAGAGGCTACCTATTACATGGACCACCTGATACTGGAAAAACATCATTTATCCAATCATTGGCGAGCAAAATCAAGGTGAACGTGGCAATATTGAATCTGTCTGGAACAGCAGATGACGATAGTCTGTCTTCTGCATTAACCCGTGTCCCAAATAGCTGTATTTTGGTGATTGTGGATATAGATCATTACTAGTTTGATGAAGGATTGCCGGATAAAAAGGACGAAATCAAGACTTACAATAAGAACAACTCAATTTCTGTATCTGGCATTCTAAATGCGATTGGTGGCATTGCTAGTTTAAAGGAATCAGGTAAGCGTTGATGTAAAGAGTGTAGGATGCAGGCACAAGTAACTTACCGTATCATATCAGTCATTTTCATGACCTGGAATGATATGAATCGTATTCCATTCATACCCATTCGCCCTGGAAGAATTGATGTGAAGCTTTACATGGACTACCTTGACGACTATCATGCCAAGCTCATTTTTTGGAGATTTTTTTTTTTTTTGTATGCAAGAGAAAGAAACCTCTCTAGAGAATATGCCTACTGAAAAGTATCCAATACTCTCAAGAACAGTCAATGAGCTCATTCGACGTATGAGAGATAAAGCACATCAAGTCTCGTTGGAGAGAGGCGTTCAGCTGCAATCGATCTCTGTTTTCAGTCTATTTTATATCATATTCCAGATTTCATGGATTCAGTAGCAACAGATCGAAAGCAAGCTATCGAGCATGTGAAGAAGAAAATTACTATACTCCAATAAGCATAAGTTCATGCAGAATCACATAGTAATGCACAAGACATTAATTATACAAAGACGATGGATGCTGAGATGCCTACACCACCCACTTCACCTGCAGCGGAAAAATTGGCTGCATCAGATGTTGATGTGGATGTGGGCAAGCAACAAAAGCAAGATACAAATAAATGAGGAGGGAGGGGCTTCTCTATCTACACATGAATAGACAACTAGACTACTGTTGCACTTTGAAGAGAAAGGTCATGTTGAATCGTCGATAAAGTATGCCAAGGAGATTAATATAGCTGGTCCTCATGCACATACACTTGAGATGTATAGAAAATTAAGGGCCTGTTTTTCTTGATATACTTACAGCGCGTGTCATTTTTTTGCTTTCAGTGGTATCAATCAAACTCGCATAAATCAACTATAAAGGAAATTTATAGGGGAAAGTAGGAAGCGAGATCAATTAACATACATACTGAATACATGTGTGTGTTTAGCTCATACAATGTGTCTCTATGCTAAGCTCATCACAACGGATTTTTGTATACTGTCAAACAGCAAATGAATTTACGAGTGTTTGTCGTACAGCATTGAATTCGCTAGACATATCTTACACAGACACGGCAGGCCTCCCGCCCCTCCCAAACCAACCCTAACCCTGCATCGTGTTTGTGTACTTGTTCTTTCCAGACACACACACACACACACACACACACAGATGCACAGACATGAAGCCATCCATAAAAGTCTAGATCTCCCTTGACTTTTACCTGAATCTACAAACAATTGATTTTAATTGCTAGGGAGTCCACAAAAGACTCGAATTGACATTTGGACCAAGTATCCGACTGATTTCACTCTGTAGTAAAGTCGAAATCATGTGTGTATTAAAAGCACTATAAATCTTCGGTATTACATATCGGTTTAAATCACACATGTAATCTTATTAATCATTACTATCATCTTGATGCATGATGCCTTCCTGCTGAGTCAAGGCAATGATTCTTCTGAAGGTGCAAGACGCTTGTAACACACTCCTAATAGCAGCATGAAATAGAATATGAAGAAGTACATTTCACAGGAGCCCTCTTTACAGCAACCTTTCAAACGCATTGTCATATACGCATCAGTGCAAGGGAGATTTTCCTAACCTCGACAATCAAGGGGAGAGGAAGGGTTTGTTTTAGGCAATAAAATATTGAATCATGCCTTCAAACCTGCCGTTGCTTTGCTTTTTTGATAGACTCACTCCTTTCGTCATGCCGTGTCAATAACATCGAGCAAGCGGTGCTATTAATCTACTGCCACTAGAGCAACCTATATGAATAAAGCAAGATCTGTCTGTGTCCTGATAGCATGTAATTTACATTTATATATAAAATCTGTTTGTTTTTAGAAATAATCAACAAGAAAAATCGAGTATAAGGGATCTTGGTTTGTCCCCTCTCTTTTTTCACTCCAATTCGCTAGCACTCCCTGTTTGAATACGCTACTAACTGATCTTGTATAAATAATCTCTCTTTACTTATCTATTTTATTATCTTTTTTCTTTCTTTTTTTTTTTTTACTTTAGTATATAAGCCTATCCTTTTTGTTTTATACATTTACAGCTTTAGGAAGAAGAACTTTGTTACCTCAACCCATCACTAAACCAGCCCACCGTACATATATAAATACATACTCAATGTCCATCAATTTGATACAACAACAGCAGCAAGATGACTTGTGTGGATTAATGCCTCCATTAATGCATACCAGCTACGATCACCATCAACACCATTCATCAATTTCAAGCGATGATTACAGTTATCCTATGGAGCCTAGCTCTATGTTGCCTTATTCGCCTTCTGCTTCAAGCAAGAGACAATCCGCTGAAACGACACACCATTACAATGATCAAGACCAATATCCCTCTTATGAAGAATTTGACGTCATTGTTCAAGATTACTTGCAAAATCTATCATCAAAGAAGCGAGACAAGGCATTGATTGACCAGGCTCGCTATGCCATGATCTTGCAAGTACTGAAAGATCCTCGAAACACTGCAGTTTCAACTGCGCAATTCAGATTTTGGGTAAAGAAGATGTTTCAATTGACTTCAAGACAAATCGTTTGCCATGATGGCAAACCTGTTGCAATGCGGGAGCAGATTTATGGCATCTTGGTGCGCGCTCATCGTGAAGCTCATCATGGAGGCCGAGACAAGACATCCGCATTAGTAAGCGCGTTCAATCGATTTAATTCAATGCCATTTACTAATGGTGCAAATAGGTTCGTAGAAAATACTCTTGGATTCCAAAAGAGCTGATTGCTCGATTTGTGCGTCACTGTCCATTTTGTATCTCTCGCAGAAATGGTAGTCAGCAGAGCCCTTTATCTCTTGGTATCTTTTTGCCTGCGACTCCTCCTACGTACTCTATGGTCTCTAGTGTCTCCATGTCAGCAGAGGACAGTCGCCAAAGAGCTCCTTCTATGATTACTTCAAGCTCGTCTGCTTCGTCAAATGCGTCTTACCCTGAGGAAATCATGATGATGGCAGCAGCAACAGCTCACCACCAGCATCAGCAATACCAGCAACAACAACCCATGTCGCCTTTTGGAACCAGCGCTGCACTGGACATGTCATGGCAAACGTCTAATACTTCATCGCAGCAGCAACAGCAGAGCTTTTATGTATCAGAGGCAGCAGCTGCGGCAGCTGTAGCGACTTCAGCATCAAATACAAGCTCCATCTTTGACAGCCACCATCCTCATTCACAAAATGGCTACTACTCGAATAGTCATTCAAGACAAGCACCTTACATGTTGTCCTATCCTCCAACATCCAGCTCTCATGGCCAACATTCAATGGGTGCTCAGGGATCTCAACAACAGCAACATCAACAACCCATGACAATGCAACCTGCTTTATCTGTATACTATGCACAGGAGTATGGATTAAAACAAAACCCAGCCTATTCCTTAATTGATTCAACCAACACTATGACATTTGTTCCTCCCTCTTCTTCAACAAACTCCTCGCCTGCCACAGCATCTCGTAATCTAAGCAATGCTATACTCTATTCTCCTGCTACCCATGTCTCAAATACACAGGTAACAGCACCTATTGTAGGTGGTAACCATTGTGTTGGCTTGCCCTCACTGTCGCCATCTTCTTCATCTACTTCGGCTACTTCGTCACCTGTTCATCCTGCTTATCATGAGACAGCAAGTGACAGTAAATACATTCAACGTCAACAAGCATCAAGCAACAGTGCTACTAATACAACAACAGTAACAACCACTAGTACACCACAAAATACTTTGAGCCTACTCTCCCATCATCAATCATTATTTTAAGGCTCCCACACAATGCGTCAGCATATAAAATCAAACAAAAATTGCCTTTTCTAAATCTCACGCCCACACTCATCACACAGAACACACGACAAATATACATACATACATACATACATACATACATATATATATATATATGTATACATTTTATGGCCTGAAATGTAAACGGGGGGTTTTTTTTCGCTCTTCTTAGCAGCACGTCCAAACCTGTAGAGGAAACAGTGTAGATCGAGTTTAACAACAAACGTTACAAAAAAAATCTAACAAAAAAAACCACAAACTCTATTCAGAACATTTGGCTTTCTCTCACTTTATTGCTTGCTAATTCTAAAGAGTAATCAGTTTACTTTACCCTTTCTCAACAACAACAAAACTAAATTAAGCTACCTAAAAAAATATATCCACATACAAACACTCACATTTTTACATATATCACTACACTTCTTGCTTCATTTTTTTTTCTTCATGCTCTTTTTTTCATATTATTTAACTCAACAATAATAATTTAACTCTTTTCTATTTTATAAATATATATATATATATATATATATATATATTGCTATATGATTCATATCTTTGCTTGTAATTAACTCTATTATGCTGCGAAAATGCAATGCTTTTTTCTAGACCCCCTTTTTTAATTTGAAATTTGATTGATTGTAGATTACATAAACTCTTACATACTTGTCTATTTGTTTTTTCTTTTCTCTTTGTAATTTTGATGAATAAAATCACACTAGTTGGTTCATTCTGATGGTGACAACATGGATAATGTTACCCCTGAGCGCCATTTGAATCTTGTTTGATTTGACAGGATCGAATTACCCCCTTTAATTACCATATTTGTTTAGTGGGGTTTAGAGTCGATCTAAGATGGTAAACGTATACAGCTGGAAATTTTGGTGCTGAAAAAATGTATCAGAAGTTTATTTATTGCTGTGGAGACGCACCGTGGTTTATAACCAGAGTATAACAAGCAAGATTTTGCCAACGAATGAACGGGTCTTTTAAACAATTGCACATAAACAAGAGATAACCCCTTTTCATAGTGCTGATTGTTTCCTTTCCAAAAAAAAAATGAATCCCTTGGACAATTGGTATTTAAAGAGTTCCAGTAGATGAATAACTAATCTGTATTATTTCTAAGGCTCTCTTAACATGACCCACAGACACCAGTTAGCAGCAATTCGTAACGTACTCCGAGTAACCTCGTTCCTTGGCTTGATTCTCTCGATAATTCACTTCCTCAAATCGCCTAGAGACAGCACCCTTCTTGGTAATTTCCATTTATCTGGACAAATATGTAAGTAATGGTATGTCTCAACTGATAATCTACTTGGCTCATAAAGATAGAATGTAGTCAACAAGAAATGCAAATACATTCTGTACCCAACGATGGAACTTCTTCCTGAAGCTTTGCATACTGAAGAACAGACATCCAATCTCATCAGGCTGCTTCTTTTCCCTCAATACAACATCACAGGTATGACAAAAAAAAACTAGATGTAGTATACGGATTTGTCATATTCATCGTTTACTTTATAGCCAGCAACTGTCGTATCAGCGAATTCGGTTCAACTTCTTACAACCAAACCACCTATGTTGATACTGAGCCCAATTACCATGCTAAAAGCTCATTTATCAAGAGTCTGTTATCTGAAAGCGTTGTTATTACTAGTAAGCATTATACCCGTACCCTAGTTCAGCTATTCACAACAACAAAACATATGTGGATGTATTTTCTATTTGTCGTATTGGAATACCACCAATTGTTCAGATCAGCATTCTCTTGATCAGCTTTACCATCATACGATATTATATTCCAAGAATGCCTGTATACTTACAGAAATTGTGAGAAGTTGGAGGATGCCGTTTTCCGGATATTTCCAGTCTACAAGAGACACATTGCACAGCATACACATCTGAGATACCTCAAATACAGTAAGAGATTTAACAGAAATGATATATTACCAACGGCCAGCACTTTTAACAACACATCTATGAGTGGCACTACAATGAAAATGATGTCAAAGAAGCTATTCAAGCAAGGGAATCGATTACAACAAACACCTCAACCAGCTTAAACAAAAATATTGCTGGATCTGATAGACTTAACAATGAACTTGGTAAAAACGAAAGCGAGACGAGCGATAATAACAACATGGCGGGCGCTGATAGAGATGTTGATGACGGAACAAGCCAGTATTCTATAATTAACTATAACGAAGAAGAATCTTCCAAAAGTCACTCAAGTAATGGTCATGACAATGGCAACGGCAACAATTGCAAAACTAAAAATGCAACTATTATCCCACCACCAAGTAATAATCCAGAAGGCTGTGAGGCTTTCCTTAGCAAGCGTCTAGACTCTGTTGCTGACATCAACAAACCATCTAGGATTCCCTTGCCTTCATTCTATGGTAAAGACAAGAAAGTTTCGTCTCAACGCTATGGCTCTTTGAGAGGATATCCATATTTACAAAGCTATATTGAGAACCTGCAACTTGAAGCCATTCCTGAAACATGGGAAGAACCTGAGCAAGTCCATGAGGAAAGCGAGTCTGAAATAAAAGGTAATGAGCAAACAGCTAATATACAAAGCAATGGGCAGCAAGAAGATGACAAATAACCAAAGAAGACTGAGCAAAATAACCATGTAAAAGAAAAATGTATGCAGCAATAATACTCACAACACTACAACACTTCAGGTTCCCAACAATCAAGTCCGTCTGGCATACAACGAAATTGGCCCTTACATGTGGATGCAACAGTCAACCCTCCAGAACGTACCTTTAATGCTCTATTCAGCCTTGTGTTAACTTCATCAGCTTTACCAACACCTACAGTACTACCTCATCACAGCTGGAGTATACGTCAAAACTATTTCTCCAGTTTCATTCGTATTAAGGAAACATCTTCTAAAGCTCATGATACTACCGCAAGGTCTGCAAGTAGTCGTCATGATGGAATTTCTCAAGATAGCCCTTCTGGTTCTTGCCACATTCATCAGGAAAACTATACGAGTAGCGAAGCTGATATTTCCAAAGAAGAAGCGAGAAACATATATTAAGCAATAAAGCTGAAGTTTGTATTTACAGTTTTCAGGCCTGGGAGTCTCTTTGAAAATTTCTATCATGGCCTGAAGAAATTGCTCGATAGTAGGGTATCCAATACACGGGCTTAAACATTGTAGTTGTATGTCAAAAATCGCTTGAATGCAAAATTTGCAGAACAAACTGGTGAAGTGATCTAGTCATTGTTGTCAACAAAATACAAGATAAAATTGAATCTATAGAAATATCACCATTTTCTTGTGTATGTATGCTAAGGTTTGCAGCACAATGATGAGCTTAGGTACAATAAGCATTTACTATTATCTACCTAACAAGTAACCTGCTGATCATGACTAACACGATGTACTAAGAAAATTTCAGTAATAAGCAGATAATTATAGTTTTAGACCTAACTGGTACATTTGAAACAAACTTATATCAAGTAAACAAGCTTGCGATATACTCAATTAGAAAAGTTTTTTTTTAAAAAAAAAAACGACTAAACACACTACAAAACTGATTTTTGCAAAAAAGTACTCTCCGGCGGGGAATTGAACCCCGGTCTCCCGCGTGACAGGCGGGGATACTCACCACTATACTACCGAAGATATCTCTTCCTCAGATAGTGCTGGCATTACTGCTGCTATTCCACATCTTTTGTCTCACTAAGATGCTGTTTCTCTGCTGTCCTTTTCCAACTGTTTTCGTTTGCCTTTTTTTTGAACCAAGGATTTAATCTTTAAATTTTTTGTTATTTTTTTATATTCTCTTTCCGAATTTATTTCCAGCTGTCATCATTTTGATCCGCACTATAATGAGCACTTTGCCCTACAGGGACGCAGCTCCAATATTATATCTCTTCAATAAACATTTCAACTATACTACCGAAGAGAGACGTTAGTCGAACAGCGCGCGATATTTATCGTTCCTTTTTATACTTTTTCGCAAAATCAGTTTTTCCCATCAACTCTTTAATTACTCATCAAGATTCCCCCAAAACAGAAATCTCGTGTCAGTGCCAAGGCTTCTGAACCTTCTATTGCTTCTCGTACTACAGTTACACCTGCTAAGCAATTAATTTTCATTAATTCTGTGCACAGTAACACTACTTTGTCCTCTGGTTCCACTACTTCGTGTCCAAGTGCCACTGCTTTGCCTAACGTTACCAGTTCTAACCTCACTTCTGTTACTCCTGGTCCTACCCCCACGGTTTCGCAATCGAAACGTCCATTTGTGCCTTCCCCAACTTCCTCTTTCGGTGAAATGCCCCAAAAACGGATTTTGACCAAAAAGGGCGTGATCTCTTCTCCCACGGTTGTCAATGCCAATGTCAATGCTCCCCCTGAGGTGATCCCTGCTTCTCGTATCACTCGAATTCCGATTCCCAAGGGTTCTAAGGTTCCCATTAATGCCGAAAAAGCTTTGCCACAACCAAATGCTGCTATTCCTGCTACTAATACCACTACTGATCCTTTGATCAATACTACTGCTGTCTCTTCTAACACTGCTACTACTACTATTATTGATCTTCCTTCTGATACCTCTACCGTTGCTTCTTCAACTACTTCTCTTGCTGACTGGGCAATCGATTTTCAGGTTCAATTGCGAGCTATGAATACTCGATTTGCTGCTTATGAAAATCGGTTGAATGAAGTTGAACGTCTTACAGCTGAGAATGCTCAGCTGAAATTTGCTCTGTCTGACGCACATCAGTTGATCGCAACACTTCAGGAGGAGGTGAAGCGACTTAACAACGTCTCTGTAGATGCCGTTATGTCTGATGTGTCTGGTGTCTCTGCCTCTGGTATTTCTGGTGATTCTGGTGACTCTAATGACTCTGGTGTATCTGATGGTGCTGCTGGTGCTGCTGCCTCTGGTAACTCTGGTGCTTCTGGTGTCTCTGGTGTCTCTGGTGTCCCTGGTGTCTCTGGTGTCCCTGGTGTCCCTGGTGTCTCTGGTGTCTCTGGTGTCTCTGGTGTCTCTGGTGTCTCTGGTGCTGCATTTGGTGTCTCTTCTGGTTCATTCTTTGCTGGTAACTCTTCTGTTTCCAAGTATGCTTCTCTTCCTGCTACAGCAGCTGCTTCTTCCACTCGTGTTGCCTCCACTACTCCTACTCCTACCTATAACTTTTTGGCAGCTGCTAAAAAAGGTAAGAATAGCAAGCAAAAATCCAAGTCAAAGCCTTCCCCTCAAAAGGTTGAGGCTGCCGCCCGCTTCTTTTCTGACTATCCTGAGCAATATGAGCAAGGCTATCGATACATCTACTTTCGTAGTCGTCATCGTAAGTCTTACAAGGCTGTTCGTGAACAATTGCATACGTTGAAAGTCCAAAACTGGCGTGTTTTGGATATCCACTACCCTGCTCCCAAGGCTGTTGCCCTTTTGGTCCATCATGAATATGCCAAGGAGCTACTTGATACTCTTGCCAAGGCTAAGGTTCTCCCCATTGATGCTTTTGATCCTCGTGATCCAACAATTCTGGAGGATCCTCGTCTTGTTTCCCTTACTGAAGCTGAGCGTGTGGAGAGGGCTATCCAGGTTCATCAGGGTCGTCTTCTGCGTGGTCTTCAATACTTGTACCAGCATGCTGGTCGTCGTCCTATTTCGATTGCTGTTGCTACTGACTTTTTCCACAAGAAATGGATCTCTAATGATCAATTGCGTGAGTTCAAGTCTAATGGTTCTTTTACGATTAATGGTGTGGTGTCTGGTGATTCTGTTTCTGGTGATTCTGTTTCTGGTGATTCTGGCTCTGGTTCTGGTGGTGACTCTGGTGCTGGTGGTGTCTTTGAGACGGATAATGAGAATGTTACCATGACTAATGCTGCTAATGATACTGGTTCAACTGTTTCTGCTTCCCTTCCTGGTGGTGATAAACCAGAGGCACCTCAGTAATGAGTGACTCTCGCGATATCACTATAACCATCTGGAATGCTAATTGTCTTGATCGCATGACAATTAATACTGTTACCCAATCCCTTCCTTTGTCCTCTCTCATCTTTATAACCGAAACATGGCTTCTTCCTCCTCTCCATCTCCCTACTTCGTGGCAGCAATTCCATACCTATGGTTTGCCTGTCCCCAACATGCGTCGTGGTCAAATGGGAATCTCGTTGCTGGTCAATCCTGATTTTCCTTACCCTGTTACGCATATTCCTTCTGTCTCTCCTTATGTATTATCCTGTCAGGTTGCATCCACTTTGATTCACTGTGTCTATTTGCCTCCTACTGCTTCTTTTTCTGACTCTGATGCACTAGCTGTACTCCGTGATCTGCCTCTCCATCCTAGTCCCTCCCAAACAAACACAATCATATGTGGTGATCTCAATGCTCGCCATGCTCGTTTATTGGGTGATACTAAGACTACTACTAGAGGTACTCTTCTATATGAGTGGCTGCTTGATACTGGTCTCTATTGTTGGAATGCTTCTTTTGCTTTTGGTGAGCCTACACTTGTCAAACAACGTCGTCGTCGTATTGTCCACCACGATGATGCGAATGTGTCGTCAAGTGCTAGTGCTTCTGGTGTTGTTGGTGCTCCTGTTGGTGTCCCTGATGGTGCTGCTGCTGGTTCTGGTGTCGTCTCTGGTGTTGTCTCTGGTGGTGGCTCTTTTGATGACTCTGGTGGTAGTGGTGTTCTTGGTGCTTCTGGTGTCTCTGGTCGTGGTCCTGGTATTGGTGTCTCCCTCGATGGTGGTGCTGTGTCTGGTGTTACGGCTGATAATTCTGATCTGCTCTCTGATTCTAGTGATGATAGTGACTGTACGGATGATGGTGAACCTGTGAATGATCCAATGTCATACATCTCCTACGCTGCTGGTAGTATCATTGACTTGTTCATTGGTACCCATGACCTCTTGCATCCTTCCTTGATCGTACACTCTAATATGAGTATCAACTCTAATCATCATCCTGTGTCGCTGTCCTTTGCCTTTGATTCTCCCCCTCCTGTTCGTGTGGATCACCCGCGGTGGATGTGGAATCTATCAAAGTTGGAGGACCCAAGTTGCTCCTATGCTCCTCTGTTTGCAAATTGTATTGCTCCCTTTCACGATGACCTGGTGTCTCTGTTGCTCTCTACTGCCTGTCCTGACTTTGATGCATTAGGTGATACTCTTACTGATTGTATTCATTCGTCCTTGACAGAGTCTGTGGGTCGTCGCTTACCAAAGCCTCCTGGTAATGCTTGGTTTTGGACCTCTGATTTGCAAGCTGCCTTTGACCTTCGTGAGCATCTCCATACCCGCTGGCTTCGTTCTCCTAACCCCTTCGAACAATGTAAACGCTGGGGTGAATATCTTGCTGCTAAGAAGGCATTTCAAAAGGCTATTCGTCGTCGGCGTCGTCAAAGCTGGAAACAGTTTTGTACCAAGATGGCTACACAGCCTTTAGGTGATACTACTGGTACGCTCAAGCGGATTATCCGTGGTCGTAGTCTCAGTGCTCCTTTCTCCCACCCTGAAGGTCCTGTTGCTGCTGCTTCTACTATGGCCCAACACCTTCGTGGTATCTATGCTGGTGATTCCCTGCTTCCAAACCGGCCTAATGCTCCTCCTACTCCTCCTGTGCCTCATTTTGTGGATGAATGTCCGTTTGATGCCGATGATGTTGACTACTACTTAAGAAAGCGTTTGGCCAGGCAGCGTGCTCCTGGTGGGGACCATATCCGTGCGGAAATGCTCCTTCCCATCCGTGAATCTCTGGTGCCTGTACTTTACCTGTTGTTTCAGCTGTGCTGGCGTTGGTCTCGTACTCCTGCTTCTTGGCGATTAGCACAGGTGGTGCCAATTTACAAGAAGGGTGATCCTCTTGATCCTGGTAATCATAGACCCATCTCTTTGACTTCTGTGTTTCGAAAGTTGTTGGAACGATGCCTCTATGATCCTTTGGTGTCTTCTGCTCCTGCGTTGGATGTGGTGCAAGGTGGTTTTCGTGAGCGTCGTGGTGCTCCTGATCAGGCGCTCTGTCTACATGAACTCTGTCTTCACCATACTCTTGATTATGGTTCTCCTCCTGTTTTGGCTTTTCTGGATATCTAATCTGCATACGATACGGTTGACAGAGCTGTCATTTGGCGTGCTCTCGAAACGTATGTATCAGATGCGATGCTTGGTCTCCTTCAGCATTTGTTTGATGAGGTGTCTGTTCAGGTCTTGGTGTCTGGTGCTGTTTCTGATGGTTTTTGGCCTGGTACTGGTGTGTTGCAGGGCTCCATTTTGAGTCCTTTTCTTTACTCCGTGTACATCAACTCTCTGCCTGCGGTGTTGCGTGCTCCATTTAGCCCTCGGGTGGTGGAGCGTCCTCCTCGTTTGTATAACGGTCTTTGGATCAATAGTTTGATGTATGCTGATGATGTGGTGCTAATTGGAACTGCCGAGTCTATGCCTTTGTTACTTGCTCGTGTGGAAGCTCATTCTGTGTCTCTGGGTTATCGGTGGAACCCTCTGAAATCTGTCGTCCTCAATGTTGGTGTTGGTGGTGGTGCTACTGGTGTCTCTCCTGGTCTTTGTGCTGGTGTTTCTCTGTTTCTCTATGGTTAAGTTATACCTACTGCTCACTCTTTTACCTACCTTGGTTTGCCGTTCAATGTGAAGGGTAGCTTGGACACCGATCTCTTATTGACTAGAAATAGTCAGTCAGCGTTAGGTGCTATGCGTGGTTTGCAATCTCTTGGCCTTCATTCTGCTGGTTTCTCCAAGCTCTTATCTGCTAAACTGTATGCGGCCTTTATTTGGCCCAAACTTGAGTTTGGTCTGTCTATTTCCTGGTTCTTGAAACGTCATTTAAAGCTTTTGGAAAAAGCTCAAAATCAGTGTTTTCGTCTGGCCTTTGGTGGCCATCGTACCTCTTCTGCCTCCAAACTCGTGGCGTCTCGCTCTTTTTGGCCTGTCCGCTGAATTCGCTCTCCCAACAGCTTCGCACGCTGCCTTTACTATGGGTGCTCTATTGTTGAGAATGGGTACTGCAACAACAACTATTCTCTACAAGTCTGACTTTCTGAAGACTCTAAATTATGCATCGCAATAGACCAACGTTCGTCTACTGAATGACATTATATGTGCTGAATTCTGTTGCGCATTCAAAGGGCTTTAGATAGTACTTATGACGATAAATTATGACTGTGTCCAAAATTATTGCCTAAACGACAGTGTTTGCTTTGAAATCAGTGTTAGTCCAAGAACTCGAAAGCTTATAGACTCTTAGAGGCCCAGACGCTCTGCAGAATGGCAAACGCAAAATGACCTCGGAGGGGATGACAATAATATTGGATGAAAACTTCTTTTGCTTTTACTTCGTTCAAGAACTTTTTTTTAAAAATGTAGATCATTTAGTTGTAGGCGATATAAACTATTTCATATTTAATGAAATGACGAACGTTCTTTTTAATATATGTTTTCTCTTCCATAGTAAGAATCGCGGCGGATGCTAATATGCTGATTGTGACTACCATATTAATTATCTCTTTTCAACTTTATCTTCGGTTTATTTGTGTATGCGTTAATGATGACTGTTGTTTCGTCTTTTCCAATTATTATTGTTATGCCATTAGTTGAATCGGTGCGTGTTTTGCTGCTTTCTTTGTAGATGATCAGACAAACTTGTTAGTTACACTGGCTTTTATGCGACACTCCACAATATCATGGCCCTTGTGTTTACACCATTTATAGTAAAATGTAGTAAATGCCACAGGGAGGTTCATTGGGTCATCCACAATGGAAGAGGTATTCGGAGTAGTGAACATGGTGATCGATGATGGCATCGTCCCAGGAGGGAACTGACATGTTTCTTCATCGAAAAAATGAAGAGCAGTTGGAACCCAATTGACAGGGTTTACGTGGTAATGGCCTAGGCAGCATCTCATAGGTAACAACCAAGCGTCGATAAAAGCAATATCGCGTTGGCCAGAAAATCTGCCAGGTTCAGCAATCTTGATGAGTTCCGTTGGTTCTGTTGGAACCATCATTGGGGATGCCGATGCTGAGGATGTCAGCTTTTGTAAAGGTTTCAGGGTCGCTATTAGACATTATAAGTTTGGCTGCTAGTTGGTTAACTAGATTGATTATTTTGTTTGAATTGGATGATTTTCAGCTGTTGGTGATGTCAAATGTTGCTTGTGCTGCACGAGAGTAAAAGATTGGTTTTCGGTGAAAACGATTGTAGAAGTGAATGAACTTTTGCTGCTCAAAATTTGATAATACGCAATAGCTCGAAGCCAAGTTTGATGTTCTTCGGATTCAATTGAGGAGGCAATGCTCATCAACTGTTTTTAAATTAAAGAAAATATATATGTTAACAGCTAATATCTTAGCTGCTGCTACCAGTTGTCATGATAATAAAATAAGGTATATAATGAATCAGTTATAAGTTAAAAGACATCGTTTATTGAGTTTGACAGTTAGCTCAAATATTTATACTAATCGACTTGTGTAACAAAAGATGTATATAGATACGGCAACGACATAAAATAGACGCGTAACGTCTCACCTTAATTTGAGGTGATAAAAAATAAACGCTCCCGGGTGGGCTTGAACCACCAACCTCCTGATTAACAGTCAGACGCGCTAGCCAATTGCGCCACGGAAGCTGATATGTTTTTGTCATGCCTAATTTTAGCTTTAAGCCAAATTTGAAAAAAGCGACTACTCACTGCAACTTTTTGAATGATAACCTATATCTCCCTAGGGATACGAATATTCTTTTTGCAGGTAGATGATAAGTTTTTGAAGAGCTCTGTAGATTGAGAAACAGATGATTTCGAAAATTTTAATGGTGAATTAGGTTTTAAATGATATATAGATACTGTTGAATACATTTTCAATCAAATTGAAGCAGCAAATAGTAAAATAACTTCCTCATATATATTACCCAACTGGGTGATATGTACACTTTACGCCTAGTTTTACCCTACTATTACCCTACAAAAAGTTGCAGTGGGATCGGATCGAGGATCGATCGGAAGCAGCGGTATCTGAGCTCTGGTGTTGAAACCGGTTACACTTACACTCTTATTTTTGACTTATATATTTTGATCTGTTGTACAACGCATTGGAAATAAACTGAACTTTTTTACGCTTAAATCTTTTGGGTATATAACTTTATATACTTTTCATCGCTGAGATACTGTCTACACAAGGTTATCCCAACACATCAGGGACTTAATCAGCTTTAATTACTTGTTTTTGTCTTAGAATTAACTATTACTGCAAGGTCTTCCACCCATTTCGCTACATATTTCATAAAACCAACACCGCAGAGTATCAATATTTGTCATGACAGAAGTACGAAATGTAATCTTGAGGTGTGTCTAGCTACTGTTGGTGAGTAGTAGTAGACATAGAAATGCAATGGACTGTAGTTTATAATGATAGATTTAAATTGATTAATGTCAATGGTAGGAGCACGTTTAGTTGGGTGACTAAATCGTTATACATATCCTTCATCACTTGGTTTCTTTTAATAAATAAGGTAGTTGAAAGGAGTTGCGGATTGTAGAAACAACATTGGTAACCATAGAGGAGCATCGTTGACGATTAGTGGAGAGATTATAACCAAGGTATTATATTAAAGGCGTCGAAAAAGATGAGTTGTCATGTCATGCGGAGATGCCTTTAGAAGCCAAGAATTGAGTCCAATGCGGTTGATTGAGACCCGAAAGAGACAGCGCTTGTGTTTTGTTGTAGTTGAACAAATCTTTGGAGGCAGCCATATATCTTTGCAGGAGCTCTTCGAGAGCAGAGAATTCAGATGCGTCGTTCAGGATGGCTAAGGCATCATCGGCATAGGCAAGGATCTTGACAGGAGATGGAGTGGACCCGGTGAGAGGGTCAGGGGGTAACGAGAAACCTTGGATACGGGTATCCGAATTAACCGCTCGCAAAAAGGGATCAAAAGCGATGTTGAACGAGAGATGGCTTAGTGGATCACCTTGTCGCAGGCCTCGTATTTGTGGTAAAGGAGTGGAGAGGAAACCATTGACATTGGGTTGGATCATAGTTAATGAGAAGAAGTTTAGAACGACGCTAATGGGAGGACTGGGAATGTTGAAGGCTTTCATCAAGGCTTCCAGGTAGGAGAAGTGGATGCGGTCGTATGCTTTTTCTTGGTCAAGAAGAAGTGCAATGGATGGCAGCTTGGACCTAGTGGCAATGGTTTGCATACATTGGAACTGCAGACCTTGTTCAGCGATGAATTGTTTGGGCATGAAGCCCATCTGCTGGATAGAAATCTTGTCAGACAAATGGGTCAACAGGCGAGTGAAGGTTTCAGCATCTATATTGATCATGGATATTGGGCGCCAATTCTTCAAATGGGAGAGGTCACCTTTTTTGGGGAGCAGCACCAAACTAGTTTGAGTCCAGGAAGAAGATCATCATTGAAGACACGGAAACCAGTGGCAGCAGTGGCAGAGTGAGTAAACAAGAGACGCACAATCTGACAAGAGAGGCTATCAGTACCAGGGCTACTCTGGTTTGGAGACCGAGAGAGACCATCCAGAGTAAAAGGAGCGCAGAGGGATCATGTTAGCAAAGAATTGAATCTCATTATCATTTACTGTTTCAGGTGTATAGAGATGAGAGTAAAAGGAATGGACAGCCTGTTCCTTCTCAGCCCGGTCCACATATGCGGAACCAGAGGAGGGATCCATAAGGGTACGAAATGTACGCTGCGTGAGCCGTTGGGTAGTCAAGCGTTTCAGGAAGCCAGCCGAGGTCTCACCTTTCTCTCTCCAACGTGGACCCGATCGAAGAGCTTGGTGCTCCGCAATTTCTTGTTGCAGAGAACTGATAGATAATTCTATACCAGAGAGACGGTCATTCAGAATAATTGCGGACCTGTAGGTACGTAGAATTCGGCTGCGTTTCTTCTCGAGGTGTTTCAGTTGTTGTTGACGCCATTCAGTTTTTTGTTTCCGACCAATGCGTTGAGCCAAGGTTCGTGTCAATGAGTTGATATCGTCCCAGATCAATTGAGGTGACTGGGGGAAAGAGATTGAGGCCAAATGTTGATGGAAGTCATCCAGGTGAGCATACAACTGATTCACAAAGAAGCGATTAGTGGCAAACCGAAGGTTAGCTCACCATAAGCCTCGTCCTTGGTTGGTGTTGCGCATTCTGAAGTGTAGGCTAAGCATCGCATGGTTAGTCCATTGAGGGCCTATGAACTCGACGTTGGAAGTGTGTAGAAAATTGGTGAGACGAGGAGGAGCCTCATACATATAGTCTATGGTAGATCGATGTCTACCACCTGTCGAGCCTGGTAGAGAAGGGTCGGGTTGCAAACGGTGGGAGCACTCCTGGTAGTATTGTTGTAGCATGGCGTGCCAGAGCCATTGCGCTTGGGTAGAGGGCGGCATATTGGAAGGATCGTTACAGTCAAGGATAATAGGAGTGATAGGTGAGTCAGTTGAGGTAACGGGGGTGGGCTCAATTGGATGTGGATGATCGAGATGTAGATTTGTGATGAATTCAAAATCTTGGAGTTTATTATGGATGATGGCGGAAGGGTAGTGGCGAAAGTTATAGTTGAAATCTCCCACAATCATATGAGGAGCCTCAGAAGGAAGTGTGAAGGAATGGGATGAGAGATTTGACAGTAAGGTAGTTGAAGAAGATTACCATAGAAGTCGTAGTGGGCATAGATATTCATAAGACGGAAGGAGTGGAAGAGGTGATTGACATGAGAAACCGTGCAAATGATCAACCGGCCATCAATGGAAACATAAACATCATCAAGCTGTTTAGCTGGATTCAGGCTGACAACCCCACAGTAGTGAGTCCAAATGGAGGTCTTGGCTTGCAGTTGCATATTCAGGCAGTCTTGTACTTCGGGATCAGCAGAGTGGGTTTTTGAAGATAGAGAATATCCATGTCAGAGGAGGACAGAAGGCGAGAGAGGTCAAGAGAGGATGGTTTGGAAAGACTACGACAAATGGGACTACAAATATTAAGGTTAAAGATTATGTTCTGTGTAATGGAAGAGTGTGATACCGGGTTTGGATGTGGATTTATAGAAGAAGAGGAGGCGTGAGGATTGTTGATGGTGGTGCCGGTGTTCTCACTCATTGAGAGAGATCAACGGCGTCAAAGAGGAGAGCTGGGACAAGAGCTCTCTGAGCCAGAGGCATTTGAAGCAAAGCCAGGAGTGGTATCCATGTCTTCAGTTGAGACAGGATTGCCAAATCAATCTTGAAGTGTGGGGCTAGGAGGGACCCGAGAATCAGAACCGGGAGTGAGGGAGGTTTGAGCAAGGAAACCAGAAGATTGGGAGGCTTGAAGTGTGTGAGTAACAGCAGGTTGAGGAGCAGGACGTCTCTTAGCGGGACAAGGGAGTCTTTGGTTGATGATATCTTGAGCAACGTGGCTAGATACCCATCCTTTACGAACGAAGTATTTAGCAACACCGGCGGGGACTAGGCGGGCACGGATGAGATAGAGAGAGCGGATGCAGCGGTCTTGATGGAGAGATTTGGCCAGCTGGATGCAAGGCTCTTCAGAGTGATCTTGGTACTTACGACCAGCAATGTGATGGTGATCCAAGGGATGGAAATCCTGGAGCAAGTGGGAGTCCAGAAGCTTCGATTTGAACTTAGTGAGGTAGGCTTCATGCAAAAGAACACCAATGGTGTTACGAGCCGGGAAGTTGACGTCTAGAACGTGGAGATTGTCAATCGAAACTTCGCGAAACTTCGATCTAATTTGGGCACGGTTCATACGACGGGGGTGAGAGATGTAGACAAAGGTGTAGGAACCGGTTTGAGTGGAGTCGTTGGCGGGTGGATTGAAGGCACGATGCAAGGCTTGGCGCTTACGATTTGTGAGGGGGGCAGTAGGTTTGCTTGCGATGGCAGCCCAGGGGGGTTTGGGTTTGGTTTCGTCAGATGTGGAGGCTTGACGAGGAGATTGAGTGTCAGGGCTAACGAAAGAGTGGTTGGAGGGCTGACCAGAAGAGTCCTGGGCAGGTTGAGACTTGAAGATGTTGAGGAGTTCCTTCAAGGTAGCTTTGATGCTGGTAAAACGCTGGTTAACGGAATCAAAACGTTGCTCGGTGGCTTGATTAATGGTGTCCTGTTTGCCAATGAAAGCATGAATGCATGCAAGGGCAGAACTGTCAAGCACAAAGAATAAAAGGATTATTATTTGTAGCTTATAAAAAATGTTCGATATCATAAAAACAAGAAAAGACTTATTTGAATAAGATCAGACACAAAAACTAAAGATTTATTGATGAAGACAAGAGTTATTCTATTTATACTAAGTTCTGAATGCCAAAGTAGTAATTTATCTTGTACAACGCTTATCACATCTGATGAACCTCAGTATTTAGATAGCTGAGATGCACTTCAATTATCATAGCTTGTCCATGTTGTTGCACAACACAACATATCTACCCATCAAGAATACCTTAATCTTTATAGACAGTTGTAGCCCTTCTGGCGCAACTAGAACCAACATTGGCGAGAGTTTCTTCAGTAGAAGGCATGTGCTCTGTATTCAAATGCTTTAGAAAATTGTAGGGATTCAATGGTACTAAAGATTCGAAAAGTGAAAGAAAGGTGTTTCTAAAAATTTGAGTAAATGTGTCAGGAAGCTACTACTACTCAAACACAATTGTTTAGCGTCATTCTGATGGCTCAGAAACGTCTACATGTCAAGATATGAAGGCTTGAAAGCTGTCAAGTTTTGTTATGTTTTGCTTTATAGCTTTTATTTACACGGCATGAATCACACCTTTGGTAGCTGTAAATTACTAGAAGGGTAGTTCTGTAGCCTGTGCAATTTTTAATTCGAATTAAAAGCATATTAGCTTTGGTAAAGCTGATCGATTCATGTAAATTTTGATGCGTTATGTTACTAATAAGCTTATTAATAATGGAAATGAAAAGCCGAATTTTCTGCTTGTTGAATACTATGTTTTTGCACCTTCATTCCGCTGTGGTAAAACCGCCTCTTAGGTCAATGTTATCAAACGTTGAATTAAATGTGTTATGTTCTTGGTGGATGGGCTTAGCGCCTCCTCCAACTCCCCCCTCCCCCAAATGCTGGCTTTGCTAGTGGTTTATTCACCTTGTACGGTACTCATGGTGAAAAGGAAAGTCTTTTCAAAGAAGCTTACTCTTGAGATGAAGTTTTCTTGTGTTTTCTATGAATCGGAGGCAAGTGAATTCTTGGCGATTTGTGAGTATCAGCAAAAGAGTCTGGACGCTTGCTCAGAAAGGCTTTAAAGCTTTTGGGTCTGTTACTTGGTGGTGAAATAACAGTGGCATTTTCGGTGTCGCCGTTGTTGTCATGGTCAATACCACTACTTGCTTTGCTTTAAAATATCCCTCTACACCATTGTCGCTGGAAGAGAACTGGCTCGCTCCGCTGTCAACATCCTCCTAGTTATCTCTATTGATTGCATCGCTTCTGTTTGCGTCAAGTTCATTGCCAAGTTTGTTAAATTTAGTAGTAGTTTTATTAAAACTGGTTGAGTTGTTTGTTGTAGTTGGTTTACTTGCTCGAGTAGCTTCCTCGGCATCATCTTCACGATTGGTGCTACTCATAGATGTGTCATTGGAAGTACTGTCAGCTGTTAATATATCGCTTCTATTAAGCCTCTTGCTATATTCAAGGTGTTTCAGACGTGTATATTCTGCCATGTGTCTCTTGTGAATTAGAAATACCAAAAGCAGGGCATCACTAAGCTTTTCGCAATTTCTGTAAGCATCCATACACTCTTAGAATATAATGTCGTATAGTGGTAAGGCTGATGAAGAGATTCCTGGTTTAAATACCTGCTAATGTCGTAATATAACGATCAACAAATACATCTACATACGCTTTGTTGTTGCGCATAACTGAATCAAAGCACGAGTGCGTCGTTTTCTACTGATGGGAATACCCTCAAGCACTAGATTATCAATCGTTGAGCCTTCAACATGGTAACAGGGCTCAATCTCAATATAGGCCAAGTGATTGCAAGCATTCGAACCAAACTTACTGATACAACGGTAGTTGGTTATGAAATAGATGATAAATACAATAAGCTCGTATACTACATTTTGGGGGGGGGGGTTTTTATCATACCTGTCATGTTGCATTGAGGGAAAAGAAGCAGATTAATGAAATTGGATGTTGATTCTTTTGGCATACAAGGCTTTAGGAAGAAGTTCTATCGCTGGGTATTCAGTGTATTGGCATTTTTTGCTAACTACATTTACCGTAAAGAGTCGAGTAGATCGCCATTTCGAACATGCTATTGCTTGCATATTTGTTTATGTACATAATAAAAATCACTTGAATAGTGTCATCTCTAGGAGTTTTAAGAAATATAGTTATGGAGAGAATCAAGCCAATGAACGAGGCTGCTCAGAGTACGTTGCGAATTGCCTCCAAAAAGTGTTTGTGGTCCTCAGTGAACGATGTAGAAGCAAACAGAGAATATAGGTCAGTCATTCATGCACTGAAGGTATTTAAATATATATTATATATTATATGGTATACATTTAATTAATTTTTTTGCTAGAAAGAAAACAATTAGAAATATTAGAAGGGGGTTAGCTCTTGTTTATGTGTCATTGCTTCGCAACTCGTTTGTGTGTCAAGAACATTTTGCTTATAATTTTTTTCACTGAGCCAAGGTGCGTTCCCGCAATAATAAATGAATAATCTACTCTATCACTAATGCCAGAGTAGACAAATATGGCAATGAGAGGAGCACCTGATTACTGTCAAATCAAGCATGATTCAATTGGCGCTCAGGGGTCATCTACCGTGTTGTTGTATGTGATGTCTATTTTCTGGGGGGGGGAGCATCTACTAGAGGATAGATGGTATGCATTTTTATGAAGAGCTTAATTCTTTCACTAACAGAAAGCAAGCTAATAAATCCCAAAATGGCACAATGAATGATAGGAATAGAAATTTTTGTTTGAAAATCGAATGATTAATTTAAGAGGTGGCACTTGTTGAATACAGTTTTTCAATCACATGCAACAGATGTGCAGTTTGTTCCACCAAAATTTATCTTGTATGCTCATAAATATACCAACGTGAATCAGGTTTGAGCCAATTCATACAGATTGATTTCTCATTTTATAAGCAAAACGAGCAATCGCGTTTAATCGATGAATAAATTGCATCTGGCCTTACCCTCTTATCTCAGTATTAGTCAAATGCTATAGTGCAGCCCTGTTTGTAAATTCGAAAGTATTGTCATCATCGGTAACTTGCGCACACGAAGATGTTTTTATAGACATATTGAAAGTTAAGCTCTTCTTTACCCATCATAAATCATCATATATACAACTGCACAACAAAATCAAAAGCAAAAACAGCCGTACTAAGTTATAATGCCTTTTAGCTAGAAATTCTTTCTTACTATTATAGTTTCAAATCATCGATTGCCTTCAGGGTAAAGACATTCAATTTGTTACTAGCCACTAGCCAAAATTATTTGAATTTTTCGCTTGAATTCCGCTTCATATTGGACAGAGCTTGTCCAAAATCGACTTGATTCGTCTATTTTGCAGGATTGGACTATATAATATGATGACCATTCAATGCCTCCTTATGCTTTCTTAAAATACTTTTAAAGGCGCATCCAATAGTGCCATGTACAAGAGGTGTTTTGAATAGATATATTGAGCAATTTTTGAAACTTATGAAATGAAGTTTTTGGCGAAAATGTTCAGATTTTACATTTGAAGGTCCTGCAAACAAAGTTCCAGGAGCTTCTTTAGATTTTTTTTTTAACAAAAAATAGATTTAATATGTACCATAACGGCCAAAGTGTTCATCTTCAAGGTGAAAAACGTGATCGCTTGACTTCTTGATATTTTCCATTAGGTATCCCTCATAGTTTGGAGTTGATTTTGGTCAATGTTTTTTCTCGGTCCCAAGAAAGTCGAACACCTGTATCAATAAGTAAGCGTTAGATGATAGAGACTGTTTGGTGCTAACCTGGCACTCTAAAACGGCTGATACTAAGATAAATCAATGTTTCAATGCATCCAACTTTCGCTACGATTTGCACAATTTTGAATAATAAGAGTCAATGTAAGTATACTGACTGCCTCTACTGGATTTTTTTTTCATCGCTCCAGACGTTGGCCACTCGTGGATTATCAGATTGACAACTATGTATGAATCTTTCATGAGCGTGGATAATAAAGAAGCCCACATTAGTTAGATATCGCATGGATCTCAACTCATTTTAATAAAATAGATAAAGACATTTGAATCCAGTAACACCAAAACTGAAGGAGGTAATGCAATGTCGATAAAAGGTTTGTAAAACAGACTGCGTCATTTTTAGATTTGAATCTGCTTTGCTATGGATACCATCTATTCAAGGTAACAGAAGCCATGTTGATTACAGTTGATCTCAGTTCTTCCAATATATGGTCTTCTAATGTCAAGATTAGAAAAATATTTGTTGCATTTAGCGTGTTTGTTGTCTCGTGCATCATGTATAGTAGTGTTTAAGATACAGTGATGGATTGTTTCGGTGCCTAGTTTTGTGTCACTACTTCATTGCGCTGGTATTTTTTAAATTGCATCCGTTTTGTATAAAAAAAAAAAAAAAAAAGCCATAAAGACCTACAGTAAAGAGCTCCCGTTTGTTCTTTATTTCGATGTTTTTCAGATCTCATCGAAAATTTATTCTGTACAATTTTGCTTGATTGTAACCTTTGTGTAATCATCTACTAAGCCGCATAAATTCATCATGTGAAAATGAACCATTTGCAAGGTTAGCAGATTAAATAACAATTGATCTGATGGCCATTCTCTTGGCAATGCTCTAGCCACACAAGTATAGCGCATCTGCAAATAGTAGCCACAGACATGACCAAGTATAGGTTCAGGCAATATCAGATGATGCTTTGTTATAAAGATTTAGATCCAAGCAAAATGTCAATTTTAAAGACAGGGTGCGAAATATCCTTTTCACAAACAATAAAATATATTTGCTAAGTATCTGGAATATAAAAATAAGCTTCTTTGGGATGAGATGATCCATGTCTACACTGGGATCAATAAGCTACCGACAGGGCCTCCTTTCCTAAACCTGTTGATTGTTTGTTGTAAATGATGCCAATCACTTGGCAACAGAATATCGACATAACACAAGAATCGAAACCCAAGATTTTACATGATGACTGGTGCGTATGAAACTCCAAAGACACCAAAAAGAATGCAGGTCGTGATATCTAACCAAATATGATCTGTTTGTACTTTTGTTTTAATACAACTATGGAATCAATGATGAGACCTACTGGGATGTAACACAACTAATATTATGGTAATACCTCAAAAAAAAACTTGGTTCATCAATTTTAGCTTAATTTTTATTACAATAAACCTCTTTTCTCACTGGATCCTCTTTTTTTTCTTCTTCTTGATTCTTCCTCACACTCCTTCGTTGTATAAGATAGTATTCTCTATATTCAAGTAGTTGAAAGAGAACCATCATGCAAAAGATCATCACATGGCTATTCATCTTGGCTGTGATTTTACAGCTAACATTGAATGTTGGAGCTCAAGTTGTTCTTCCTGACCCAACGACCACAACCACTGTACCTCCCGCTTCAACAACAGTAAAACCACCTGGTTCAACTACTATTCGCCCTAGTTCATCATCAGATCCTCTTCCAGCTTCGTCCACCACCATCTCAACATTAGCTCCTCCATCCAGCTCCTCAATCATTGTGCCTTCCTCTTCTTCTATTGTTCCCTCATCCTCAAGTTCAGTAGCGCCACCAAGCTCAAGCTCACAACCACCTTCTACCACCACGAGCTCATCCATTACTTCTAGTAGTACAGCTGCTACAAGCTCTTCTCCTACTCCCAGCGCATCAGCATCACCTACGCCTAGTAATAAAGAACCTCCGACCAACAATACACCACTTATTGTTGGCTGCGTTGTTGGTGGTGTGGGTAAGTACTAAACCTGTATTCATGTCAATGAATGCGTGTACTCACTGAACACTGTCCATTGCTAGTCGGTATTGCATTGATAGGTGGTATCTTGGCTTGTGTGAATCGTCGTGGTGGATGCACCAAGAGAAGAGACAACAAGAAATCAGACTTTGAAGATTACGGGTTGGGAGACTTCCCTCACCACAGAACTGCAGCTATGGCTGCTCCTGTGATTGCCAACAACACCAAACCTGTGTCACCTACTATCCCAAGATTGAATGATCAGGGTAATTACTACGCTGACGACGGCTATGGGGGACATTACGGTGGCGGATACGCAGACAACAACATGGACTATGGTATGCAACAGCAACATGGCGGCTACTACTATCCACAACAGCAACAGCAAGAATATTATGACGACGGCAACTATTACTACGATAATAACACATCAGCTACTGCTTATTCTTCAGTACCTCCCATGCAACAGCACAGTCCTGCTATGCACAACAATGTTATTCCTGGTGGACAACAAGGCTATGCGATGGGCAACGTTCCTCCTACACCAACACAGCACGATATTTATAAGCCGGATGACGTTGGATCTCCAATCAACAACACCAATGTTGGAAATGTACCTCACAATAGATAGACAGACTCCCCAAATGCATGGCAGATTTTCTCTGGGAATTGTATTCCCAGTGCAGCAGTAACTTTGTAGTTTATCAGTTTTTACTTGACTATTTCTTTCCTTAATCCACTAAATTATAATACTATACTAATCATCTTGAAAAGCACTCTGCTTGTTGCAGCTTCGAAATGTTCTTACATGCACGTTTGTTATACACTTTATATAGTGTGTGAAACCATGGTAGATCTATATTTGGAGTTTCCATCCTAAATTGAGTGAGCCAGTGCGCCCTGGTGTTCAGGAACCAGCGTTTGGCTCCATCTGATTGAACCATTTTGAATTAAGGTTGTCCAGCAAGGATGATGAGCTCAAATATATAAACTCTAATGGTCATACAAACATATACATGTCAAATTCGACATTGTTGGAAACACTTTTGTTTGTTGAAGCAATGCATGCCTGATTGACCATATCAACAGTTACACAGTTCGTGACTCTCGCACTGGGAAGAATGAATTGAGAATGTGCGCTCCAGCATAAATGGAACGCCTTTTTCACTTGTTGCAACAGCACACTGTTTAATGGTAAAATATGCAGTTTACACATGTCAAGTTTGCCTCATGCCGACACGGGCCATTTTATGTTAGACGCATCCATCGAGAACACCAGGAGCTGCCATCAGCCCAGAAAACGTGCTAGTGGTGCAAGATGATTTAGAAGCAGGTAGAAGCAATGGTGCGATTCGCGACTACTTTGAGCAATCGAGGTAAGGTAAACCAAACTATAGTAAACTTGACACATGATTTGACTCAACCATATATACTTGACCTGATATTCAGCCATCCTGTTGCGTCCTTCTTTTTCTTGGCATTTCGCTCAGGCGCACTGTTAACCTATCTGCTAGGCTCGCTCTTTTCAAACAATTTCACTCTGATATTCGTATTGGTGATTTTACTGTTGGCGTTTGATTTCTGGACGACAAAGAACATATCAGGCCGTTTGTTGGTGGGACTGCGATGGTGGAATGAAATACAGTCGGATGGATCCAACAAGTGGGTGTTTGAGAGTGCCAGTGTAAGTAAGCAAAGCGATGCTGGATGGTATGTGTTTTTTAATGAATTTGTGGACAGCCAGATCGAAAACCAAACAATGCAGATTCGCAATTGTTTTGGGTGGTTCTTTATGGCACGCCTCTTATTTGGGGTGTATTTGCATTCTCATGTGTTTTAACAATGAAGATATCTTGGCTCTTCATCGTTGCCATTGCAATTGCCATGAATGTTGCCAATGTGTATGGATTTTCGCAGTGTGACAAGGACGCAAAGCGTAGATGGACCACCAATCTAGTAGCTCAATCAGCTTTGGGATCTCTTGGGAGTGGTGCTACTGGTTTTGTGGGTAGAGTTGTAACATCTAGCATAGCAAGTTTTTTCAGTTCTCGTGGATAATGGATAATGGTGGTGGTAGTGGCGATACTATCGGAACATATATACAACATGAAACCAGGTCAAAAAAAAAAAAAGAAATTTTTAATACCATTCGACCTGGTTTTAGTTTGAATAAAACGTCTATAAGTTTATCAATCATCTAGGGCCTTTTGTAGCGATACCCTTTCTTCCTTGCTTGATCCCTGTTTGTCATGCATTTCATCCTGATCCTCCTTTTGTGTGGCTGTCCATGGATTTCTACAGTGAAAGCGGAATGCAATGGTGGAATTGACCTGTGCAATCGATCCTACAGCAATATCACACACCTGATTACACATGATTCCTACGCACTGACACCTAATATTGCTGCAACACAAGATTACAACATCATCAATCAACTGAATGATGGTGTTCGGGGAATTAAGCTCTCTGCTGTACCCTCGATTGGCAACCCAGAGGCAATTCACCTTTGCCATACATTCTGCACTGTGTTGGACGCAGGGCTGGTATCCGATACATTAAATAGCATTTCTCAATGGCTCAAGGAAAACCCAAAAGAAGTTGTAACAATCATGTGGAATAATCTTTACAATTTCAGGGCAACCCAGTTAGCAGCCGCCTATGAAGCGAGTGACATTATGCCCTTCATCTACTTGCACAACAACACTGCGTGGCCCACGCTGCAAGAGATGATTGACACCGACAAACGATTAGTCAATTTTGTGGATGCTGAAGCGGATACTGCTCAAGTGCCCTGGTAAATACAAATCTCTTCTCATTCAAGATGCAATGTAGCTAAATGCCTTTGTTAAACAGGTTGATGGATCAATTCTCACATGTCTTTGAGACGCCTTACGACAATGTCGATGCGGATTCGTTTAATTGCAACGTCGATAGAATTACAAAGGACGTTGAACCCCATAACATGATGTATGTCATGAATCATTTCATCTACAGTGTCATTGAAATGGGAGCTCTCAAGATTGAAATACCATTCAAGGAAAAGGCTGCATCAACAAATGCAAAAGAATCCATCGGCAAACATGCCTCGAACTGTACCTCTGTCTTTCAAAAAAAGCCAAGTTTTGTAGAGGTTGATTTTTATACCATAGGTGATGCCCTTTCCGTGGTCTCTGATTTAAATGGCGTACCACCTACTCCCTTGATCCGTAAACAGCCACTTCCACTGGTGGATGGTAACAACACACTGGCAATTAAGAAAAGCAACTTGTCACCAACAGATCATGTCCTTATTGACAACGTTTCCTCTAAAGGCGAAAAGCTGGTGCTTAGTCATCATTGGTGCCATCTGACATTGCTTATTGCCATGTACTTGATTAGATTTTAAATATTATTCCTTTTTGTCTAGTTATATCTATCTGATGATATATTTTGCACAAATGTTACATTTAAAGATTGTAGAGCATGATTTGGAGATATATATTCTTCTTCTTCTTAGCATAAAGATAACGATATCAGATCATTGTACTGAATGGAATGACCAACTGCTTTATAATTTGGTATTGCCATGTAAGATAAGATTGCTTGATGGATGAGACTCACTTGGAACAAAGGCCTGCCGCCGATGAAGCCAATTTCACAACAGCATGATTACAAAAAAGCATATCTGCCAAAGCAGCTGCTATTCTGTAAGGTGCTTAGAGCAGGTGCTGCTTTCAAACATTGGCAAATTGACTCGTTTTTTACACTCTCAAACAGAAATGCCTGCATGGTTGTGCTGCTACATTGGCTTATAAGTTTGAACAGTGCTCGATATTTGAGTCAATGAATAGAGTACACATCCATCCATCCATCCATACTTACATACTTACATAGTTTTACTTTTGATCTTCAGCTATATAATCAATTTCGACGATCGACTTATCTCAACCCCTCCTTCTCACATTTAATGGATCAAACTCTGTGGAATCATAACTTTAATCTATTTTGCTGTTTTACCGTACATATCTATAGTCGTTTTATCTCACAATGAGTGATTTCTATTATCAATTGCCTCGATTTAATGAGGGAAACGTTATACCTTGTTGCTATGTGCGCATCATTGAGATTTTATTGATTTTGGATATTAAATGTACTTGCAGCAGAATACTTTTGGGAGAAGCAAAAAAGCTTTGATTCCAATGCCTTGATAGTCTTTTTCTTCTTGATACTAATTCTTGTTTCTCGAACGGGTCGACTAGCAAGAGTAGAGGCGACATAGTCGGCATTGTCAGGGCAGTCAACGAATTCGTAATGCTGTTCGTCACCATGTCTATCAGCAATTTGGGCTCGACAAGGAGATATGTGGGGAATATCTTTGGGTTGTCAAATCTACCAGGCATAGGAGTGCAACAAGCATTATGTAAATCATATGCCATAGCAGCCTTGGATTCAGCAATAGACGAAAAGTCGAAGCTGGTAAAAATAGGCAGTGCGCACAATGATTTTAGAGAGCTCCTCGACGATACAATACCCAGCATTCTTAGCCAGCTGGAAACTAGCGCGGTAAACATCTTTCAAAAAGACATAGGTTCTCAAAACAGGAGCAGCAGGCAACACATCTTGATTAGCCTTGATTGCAGGAGAAGAGGCAGCAGCAGCGACAGAGGCAGCAGAAAGAAAAACGGCAGAGCAGACTTGATTGATAGTGGCACCAGCAAAAGAGACAACCTTTTTCTTGATGAAATTGAAAACCATTGTAGATTGAATACAGAGAGTGAAAGAAAGAAAGACAATAACGAGCTTCTATTGAAAGCAGATATCCTTTTATACTTTTTTTTTGACAGGGATTGAAATTCACTGATGGTATGTATATTTAGCTGATCGAGGACATGCCATGGATGAATATGTAAGAATAACCTCTATATGACACAATTGGACGGGGCGAAGGGCACTGCTAGGACACAATTTATGTCCTCAGGTTATTAAGGCACAACCTAACTCAACTTGTCGCTTTTTGGTGGCAATAAAATGTTGCAGGACACAATTGCATTCTATTGTAAACTGGTATGTGTGACCAATTTAAGAACAGAACAAGCTTTCATCCAAACATTAGCATAAAAGGTGATTTTTGTCAAGACCTACCCTACTATGTTCAATAATGTTGATTTGGTGCCTGAAGAAAGCTGCGAGATCTCTTGAAGTTAAAAAAAAGAGGCATGCACTATTCAATAATCATGAAATGTGCCTCGTGTAAATGTTCAGGCAAGCAAAATACATGAGCCTTGTCAATATTTAATAGCCATCACCAAGTACTGTGCTTATGGAATCAAGTACCATACTCTGTAACAAGGTATCATATGAAATCTGAGCTGTGGTAGAATGATATACACAATAATACATTGCCTATACGGTATTCCGCTATATGTCCAATCTCAGAGATGGTAATGTTATCTTCATCAATGCCAGCTTGATCTTTAGTACTTTGCATACACATCTCAAGATTGATTTGGAGATCAAAGTGCATTGCACAACAGAACACAGCATAATAGGGCATAGCATTGATCAACGAGCTCCCTAGTATACTGGTAGCATAATAGCCAAACAGCTCGAAGAGCAATAATTCTTACAATACATAAAAGTGTAGTAGCTACACGATTTCAATATAGACAATATTGAATTTTGGTAATTTCAATATGAGAAGGTATCAAAATCACCAAATTAAGTACCAGTATACGCAGATACAAAAACTTTTTGAACGACAGCATAGATGTCCTGACCAAATCAACAATACATCAGCTCTAAATATAACATTGCATGTTGCCAATTCATCTTCCTTTTTTTCTTTTACACCCAAACATTGTCTTTATCAATATGGCAAAGAGAGTACATTCTGATGGTAATCTCTTGAATAGTGCTTGAACAATATCAAAGAAACTAACATGCACCTCTTTCATAACATATCAGACGCAGAGTTAGAGTCAAAGAAACTCTCTACAGTCCGTAGTAAGTTTGAATCATATGAGATGCAAAACTACGGATAACTTACATGTCAATTGAAAGATACAAAGGCAATATTTGACATTGCATGCACATCACCTACTATGTTGGAAGCAAGCACCGATCTAGCCTTCTATGATACTATGATTTCGGCTAATACCAACTGGAGTGTTTGTGGATTTAAAGAAAGTCTGCAATATACCATCAAGTTTTTACGGAAAAGTGGTATTTGCGTAAATTAGGACGGCCCAGACTTGTGTAGTATCATGAACGATGTCCTTGAACATGATGTGCGCATTGGAACCAAACAACACTCGCACCAGGTATCTCCAAAAGGATTATTGCTGCTGTATTGCTTTGCCGAGTACTTCAATTGTACTGTGTTTCTGTTCTCGACAAGAAAGAAGCCAACAATCATCAAGCCTGTGGAAAGGGATGGTGCCACTAGAAAATTCGCAGCATTGTTATCTCATCAAATGCTGGCGAATCAAGTGCTGGTGGACCAAGTGCTGCTGAGCCGAAGGCTGGTGGATCAAGTGCTGGTAAATCAAGTACAGGTGAATCAAGTGGTGGTGAATCAAGTGCTGGTAAATCTAAGAACGATGAACCTGAAGATGATGATGACAAACCCACTGGATCAGAAGCAGGTGGTGCTGGAGCTGATGGTGCTGGAGCTGGTGAGGCAACTGGTGGAGCGATGATTGATCCAACCATAGAGCTTCGAAGTGTATCTCATTCTCTGAAGGCCATAATTCATCCTCGTTTTGATTACGGAGTCTTTCTTGGAGTGATTACGGATTTCCAAGCTAATTGCCACTCATGCATTCGCGGCTTGTCGAAGGCTGTTGGCATGCTGGTCGATTTGGTCTTGGCTGGTCAACATGCGACACAGAAAAAGATGTCTTTCTTTGACATCAAAGCTGTTGATTTATTTGATTGCGGTTTGAGCAAGAGTGTCAAGCCCATTGCAATTATTGACGACATCAGTGCCAGTGTTCAGGAATTATTCGTTTCTAGTGGCTTCTGGAAAATCTTATCATTTTGTATTGGACGAAAAAACGAGGACAAAACAAAGATCCCGTATGTATATACAAGGGCATTTGACGGTAATGCATGAGGCGCTAACTCTTCAATCCATGTAGCCTTCTCACAAGAATTCAAGAAGACTTGGAACGCACTGATTACGTCGACTTTACAACACGATCTGCCCTGCAAGAGGCATGTATAATATATCACACAAACTTCTCAAACATTTACTCCAAAAGGAACTGCCAAACGGTGCTGAAGACAGTGATCAACTTGGTGATCAAGGTCAACTTGTGTCGACAGCGCATTTTTGGAAAGAAGAAGAAAAAGAAAACATATAAACGCAAGCAGAGAAAACGACCAAAGCCGCAGTCAGAACAAGCAAAGAAGAAGCAAGCAATGGAAAAGCTTTTTTTGGCTTTTGGACTGTGATCATCGTGTGGATCAATGCATTGACAAGCAATTACGCATCATCTTTTCAAACAACTAGAAGAAGCCAGAATCAAAGGAACCTGCTGCTGCCACAACTACTGGTGCACCATCTCCAGTTTCCCGTAAAGGCAAATTGCGCTTGTCAGCAACATCTTCACCGCAACCATTGTCTACTACGGATGCTGAGCAAGCTATTGAGTTGCTTGATAGTGACGGCGGTGATTTGGAAAGTGTCATGGATGATGAACTACAAGAGGAAGAGGAAAATCGTGATTTGGCAGCCAAGGAGATCAATGCTTTGACGTCTATATCCGTGATGCTTTGCCAATCCCCCCTCCATCAAAGGTGATATTTCCTCTGAATACATCAAGAAGCAGTTGTACCCCGATAAGAGAGACTCTATTCCAGCTAGTGCTATCGATTGCTGCTGCACGATCATCAATGCCATTAAATCTCTTGTTCCTAAGGAAGATTTTCCCCCTCCATACAAGTGGTTTGGTTTGTTTCAGTTGTGCAATATTCTTGTTACTTTCCACCCTGGCATTACAAGGAAGAACGCGAAAAGTTTCTTTCCAACTATAGAGGACACGCCGAGTCAAAAAATGGCAATTGCGCTCAATCCCGTAACCTTGTACTTATTATTCAGCAAACAGTACCACATTTACCAAAAGGACAAATCTGCATTCACCTCTAACTCAATGATCAAATCAATTGAAACAAAGGAGGATATCTTTTCAAATTTTTTTGACGTGCCCAAGATCAAGAAAATTCTGAAAGAACAAAAGCTCGACTTCAAGCATTATATCAAATTCAAAGACCAATACAATGTTCATCTGGTGGGTTCAAGAGTGAAAAAACACAATAATGGCTCCAATGGCTCCAAATCGGGTGAGGATAGGTCGAATGCCTCCGAGTCTAGTGTAAACAGGTCGAGTGCCTCCAAGTCTGATGTGGACAAGGTGAAAAAACTCTCCAGTGATATCAAAGAAACAAAGAAGCAGTTGTCATCACTGTCAAGGCAGCTTTCAAAATTGCAACGACATCGCATGGACTGCGGCAATGAATCGCACTCTTGGGAGAAGAAGCACAACAACATGAACTTTGAGTTATGCAAAAAGTTGAAGGATGCTAGAAGTGATTACGATGAATTGTACATGAAAGTGTCAAGCTTGAAATCATCGATAAAGCGAATGTCCAGTGAGATGTACATGTTGAACAAAAGGATCCACGGTCAACAAGTACATCAAGCGGCTGCTGATGCCATACCAAAGCCATTGGCTGTTGACAGTAACACTATCGTTCAAGGCACTGACCCTGGTGTGGTGACCACCGCCAGTAGTGTATGGTGCTCTTCTCTCACTGTTTTTGAGTCGATCAATCGGTTTCAAATGCTGCAAGATTATTCTGACACTGCAACCTCTCTTGGAAACGAAGAAACATTCGTCAATTATGAAATGACAGCCAACAAAGTCGATAATGCTGTCCTCTCCAACAGGCGAAAGAAGAGGAAGAAGTCGTCAGTCAAGAAGCTACTAAAAGGAAGGGCAACTGGACGAATCCGCTTGAAGAAACTTCACCAACATTTGGTAGCCAGTGAAGCCAGATCTGCTGCAACCATGTCCACCTTCAACAAGCCAAAGATGGTTTCCTTCATAGGAAACTGGCATCGCAATACTCAGTACCTCCATGGCCACAGCACTCGAAGTATGAAGCCGTACATGTCAACGCTGTCCACAAGAAGTACAGTCAGATTGGTGGACGAATACAATTTTACAAAAATTTGCTGCTCTTGTTTCAAGGAGACACAGAAACAACTGGTGGGTGATGAGGATAATAGAATGAAGAGGAACCTCGGTGCCGTCACATACTTTAACCCTGAGTGTCCAAAAAGGCTGGCTAAACAAACTACTATGAATCGTGATGAGCAAGGAGCGAGTAACATTGCCCTCATTGGTTTGTCGGCACTGGTCTCACTTAACAACAAGGTGTTGCCTCCTTTCAGTCGAGTTCAAAATCCTGATAAGTAAGTTGGCCTTTTCACTGGGATCTATCAGCAGATTTTTTGACCTCTTGCATTTTTTATAGGTACGTCTTATCCCCCACTTATTCACATGTCTTTGCACGCCAGACTGGCAATGTGAGGACACCCGCTTAGTCGGTGAATTATTGCAATAAAACCAATTGTTGGATAATAACCACATACTTCTTTTGGCTCTGGTATAACATTGAGAAAAGTGGATTTTGAAAAATTGATGCTAGCGTTGCCTTCCAACACTTGGATATGTACAAAACATAGCGAAATCTGGATGTTTTCAAGTCGTGGTTTCCCGTGTTAGTAGTTGAAACAGGCCGCCAAAACAGTACCAAACGATTGCACTTGCTTACTGATACCATTGCTCAACGTTTTTGGGATCAAAAAAAGGTCAAAAATCGACCTCAAACCGTGAGGTACCCCTCATGGATAACATTAAGAAATCAAACAATCGCGCTTTTGACCTCCATAGTGAAGGCTGTCATAGTGAAGAAACTTCTGTCGATAAAAGGCAACGCCTGAAACCACTTTTGTGGGGCCTTTACATGCAAAATTTCAACATTATTCGCTGAAAACCTGATTTCATATTCTTTAGAATTGCTCATTAAGTTTATTCAAAACGTTTATCAGAATTAACACCATCAAAGGCGCCTTAAATAGTACACCAGGGAAGAATTAGGAAGTAAAGGAAACTTAGTGCAAGTTACATAATCGAATTGGATAAAATAGATGTATTGAGTCAATTTTGAACAGATTTATTCCATTTCAATTAGTTTCAAAACTCTCAATATAGATAAGTTGGTATGTGTTTGCCATTGCACTTCTTGCTAGCATCGCGAAACTTGTTGTTAAAGCCTATGTCGGGCCTGAATGAACTATTTTCGTCGTTAAAGATACACACAGTATGTCCACCTACAGCCTTGTAGACTACCTTACTTGCTCATATTCTTTTAGAGACCGATTTTTTCTTTAGACTCTGCTATAGACAACCTTTCTTCCTGGGCACTTTCTGTAGCTAGTCTTTAACCTCTTTTGGGGGGGCCAATTTTCTCTGTGAAATTTTTTGGCACATGTATACTACCAAAATATTAATTGAACTTGTCTTCTTCAGTATAGCTCAACGTTCATACGCAACAAAAGTACTCACCATATTGATGATTTTCAACTTGAGCTCACGGTTATTTGACCAATGATGTATTGGTTGCTTGAATATATGGTTTCTGTCTGTAATAATGGCGGTAAATTTGATATTCTGGGGGTGCCGTTGACGTTATTGTTTGCGATTCATCAAGACATTGGCTGCATCTGTGCTTATAATGAACCTTTGTAATGAAATTCATCACAGATTAAATCATTATAGGTTTAGCGAGCCGAAAGAGTTTTGTATCCATGGTATAACTGAATCATACAACTGAAAGCTTAGAATGGGTTTGTTGAAATTAATAAGCTAATGAAAAGAGAAATAAATGTACATGAAGCTACCAACGCTTGTTTGCGGTGATAAGCCATTTGAAAAAAATGATGACATGTAAGAATGTGGATCTATCACAATCAGTTTTAAACTTTAGTAATTAAACGCATTTTTTCTCTTTCTCCATTCAGCTAACTCAAGCTGTATCATCATTTAATCTATCAATGTACGCTAACTCAGCAGAAAATATGTGACGAATGAAGCCCTAAGCAAAGTATGGCCTAGTTAATACCATTTGAAATGGCCACACTAACCTTTTTTACCATCATCCAAAATAGACTTCGGTAAGAATATCCTGTCAAAGTTATTGCAAGATTTCAAATTGTACGGTTTTGCAGTTAGATGTGAAAAAATTCACAAGTTGCAAGGTTACTATGATAAATTTGATATACAGCATGTGCCATTTAGAGGCATAAATGGCAACCGAGACGTTCAAAAATCGATAGAAGGGTAGATCTTGGTAGCCAAGACATTCCTCCATGGCATGCACGCTGGAAAATGTGTATTACACAACGATCACAATACAAGAAACAACCATGCTGAAAACCTGGTAGTGATGAATCAAGGGGATGCTCAAAAAATATTGAACGAGAGGCGCGAACATAAGCTCAGGACGTCCTCTACTTCCAATGTTCAAAAGGCATCAGGAAGGTATACCTTTCTACACCGGACAAAGTAGAGGAATTCAAGACTTAAAACCATACTCGTGGATTGACAAATTCATTATATGTGAATGCAAGGAGATGTTTGCAAAGAACGCTTGGAAACACACCAAAAGAGCTGCTGTTTTTATAGAATCAAAGACAAGCCTGATAAGTCAAACAAGGCGTTTCTTCATTTGAGCAGTGGCACTCTTTTTAAGAGAATATGCAGAATGCAATGAGTAGGTTCCCCTAAAGTCTGACACTAACAAGGATTATACGGACAGGGAAACCAACAAAAAAGGAGAGATCAGGATCAAGAGAACTACAAGCTACACACAACCTACAATGAACGCTACGAATACCTTTCATGCAAATGTATCAAGCCTGGCGAAGCCACTCATGAACTAGCACACAAACTATCCCTGCCTCATCAAGACAGTGTCAACCCAGAAAAGCTAGTTACAGACTATCATGTTAATGAAGATAACATACCAAAGGTACTAAGGATAGCAACAGCCATTGCAAGGAACCTGCGAGTGCCAGCAATCCCGCTCGTAATAGGGTCTAATTGTGTAATATGGGCGATTTACAGCACTAATAGCTATCACTTGAATATGTTTAATAAAGTTACACTTTTATACAAAACATATATAATAGATGGCTCACTTAACCAAGCATTTGATACATTAAGCTACACTTCAAAGAATCTCAATATATGCGATTGGTACAGACGTCACTATGGAAGAGTTAGACACAGAATAGCACCTCATCGTTAGTGACATTCTCAATTTTGCCGAAATCTTCTCCAATTTGTATCTATTTATTAGCAGTGAGCTATACGGCGCTGAATACAGAAGCACTGTAAAATTTGACGCAGATCCAATTGAGCAATATTCGTGAAGAAGGGGCATATTGACTTGTATACAATACGTAAACATAGCAGTGCAGCGAAAGACAAATGCGTTGGTATAAATGATAAGTTACATATACTTTGCTTGAACTCTGATGATAAAGTAGCAAAACGTATTTCCAATCAAGATGGATGAATCTCAAAAAAAAGTCCAATCCACTTTATAGGTATAAGATCCGTCAATAAATATTCAACCTTGCAAGCCCTAACATTATAATTTATAAAAAGCGAGGTCGATCATTCCTTACTTTCACGTCGCAAATAGCAGTAGATCGAAGTTGCAGTATTTTCTCTTTCTTTTTTCAAAAACCAATATTCTACTGGTAATGTAGATCTGATATCACTTTAAATAAACTAATTCATCTTCAAGAAAACATGCGGCTTGAGCAAAAAAAAAGCTGTTTGCTCTAGCATTACAAAGAAACGCAAAAGCGCCTCTGCCTTTCTTTTTTTGAGAACTGTCAGGTAACATACATGATTTAACAATCGTTCCGATGAGGAAAAAAAACAAGGCTACAAACACCTCAAAATAAAATTATTGTAAAAATTCCCCAACGGGGAGTCGAACCCCGGCCGTATCGGTGAAAGCGATAAATCCTAGCCGTTGGACCATTGAGGAGGAGATACTATCGACTCTACGCGTGTAGATATCAGCAGTATTTATACTTTTTCGGAAAAACCTCTTGCCATTCAGCCGCATTTTTAGCCGCTTAATCACCCCAACCATATCAATCTTTCGCTTTTCCGAATGCCAGGTTCGCCGATCCCGCCGAATCTAAATCCTGCTCCACCGAGTTCTACCGGTGCAGCACAATCCATCGAGGCACCATCCTCCGATTGGACTTCCACTATGACCGCCTCTGGATCTGCCTCAGCTCCTGTCAATGCATCCACCTCCACCTCCAATAAGCGCCGCCGCGATTCAATGCAGCAAGACATTGCCGGCCGTGATTATTACAATAACTTGAAGCAATCAGAGTTGATTGATCTGGTAGTCAAGCTCCAAGAACAGAATCTGATTCTCACCCGTTTACTGGAACGATCCACCCTTACTACTGCTACCAATACTTCTGCTGCCTCAACCAATCGTTTGAATTTTACTCCAAATGTCAACTTCACACGTACCAAATCTGGATCTGCTGCATCTCGTTATGCATCGGAAAAGGATTTCCCAACCTTGAATTCAGGTACCAAAAAGGGATCTGCCAATGCCAAATCTACTGCCAACACTGCCACCACTACTGCCAACTCCAAGAAGAGCTCTGGTTCTAAAAAGAAAACTTCCAAGAAGTCTTCTTCTAAAGCCAAAGTCCCTTCTGATGCTGCTGAAGCCAAGAAATGGGCTTTACGTCTATTTTCTACTCCTACTACTGCTGACACAACTGATGGTGATGATATGCAAATGTCTTCCTCCTCTAATACTGCCACTTCAACTCTGCCTCCTCCTGGTTATACTTGTGTCTACCTTCCTTGTAGCCACAAAACCAAGCACGCCGATCTTCGCACTCGTTTAGAGTTGCTCAAAATCAACCTCAAACGTGTATATGCCATCCAACGTCCTGCCAAGCATGTTGTCTCTCTTCTGGTACACTCCCACTATGCTGCTGAAATCCTTAAGATCTGTGAAAAGGACGAACTTCATCCCATCACTGATTTCAATCCTATCTCTGGTAAAAATCTGGGTGATCCCCATCTTTTGAAGACTCTTAATGCTCAACAACTGGATGATAAAGCTAAGGCCATCTACTACAACCGCATGCTCCAAGCTGCTACTCAACTTCGTGAATCCCGTATGGGTCTGGCCATCCTCAAGTTCTTCAATGCTCTTGACAGTGCTGATAATCACTTTATCCCGCCTGTCATTATTGATGAGTTCATCAAGCTGAAGCCTGATTGCGTTCGCAAAATCGGTGCTGCCAACACTGCTCGCTCTGTTCTCAAAGGCTTTGATGCCTCCAACTTGTTTGCCTCTCTTACTACCTCCACCAACAATGCCGATGCCAGCATTTCTCAACCTGGTTCAAATCCTCCACCTCTGACTGCTGCTAGTAACGCTGGCTCCAGCCCCATGGATACGAATCAATGATTGTAGACTCACAGCCTACTTTCAACCTTGCAATGCTCAACGTTTCTGGTATCTCTACGTCCTTGGATTTAGTGATACACTATATAGAAACACATCACATCGACATTTTACGACTCACGGAAACCTTCTTGCTCAAAGGTGATCTATTCACTCAATGGGCTCAACATCATCAATATGCTACCATCTCAGGTGATGCGTCCAAAGGCAATGGTGGTTTGACATTTCTAATTCGACCTCATTTTCCTCACTACGTTCACCGTAGCACTGATCCAACAACCACACAACACAACAAGCTCAGTATCGTGATTGGTAACTCGCTTACTGTCCATGGCTTCTATTTACCACCAGCGCTATCTTTTGCAGACTATCAAAATGTATTAAGTAGTGTTGACTTCAACTCTTCATCGTCAGTTATTTGTCTTGGTGATTTCAACACTCGTCTTGGCTCATTCACTGGTGATACTCGTAGTACGAATCCTCGTAGCAACTACCTCCTCAATTGGCTTACAGTCCATCAGGCTAATCTCTGGAATCGTATTTCTACATTTGGACAACCTACATTTGAGTCTAATCGAGGCACAAGCATCATTGATTTCGTGATTTCACGCCCCAATATATTCTCGGCTAATCCCTTGTTATCTATTGAAAGTGATATCAATCTCAACTCGGATCATCACCTTGTGCAATTCTCGTTTAAGCTACACCAACAACCTCAACTCCTCCCAACGTCGACTTTGGCTGGCAACCGTCGTCTTTGGAACTTGCAACGTTTGGAAGAAAAAGACGTATTTGAATTATATCGCAAAAATTTCTTTTCCAACATTTTCAAACTGCAACAAGAGGTCAAGCACTTTATGGCTTTTCAACAACAGCAACACCCCAATTTGTTTGTGCTCTCTGGTGACACAGCAGCTAAGCATCGGAAGGAGGCTACTATCAATCAACGGATCAATGCTACTAATGGTTACTATTTCGAGGTTCTGGAATCTCCCAAAAATTTCATTAACCGTGCTGGCATCGAAATGATCCAGGCGATCCACTCAGCACTTGACAATTCAGTAACACCAAGAACACCTACCGTGACCCACAAAACTGTCCCAATGTTTAGCGATTTTAACTTTCAGACCTTACCGCCGGACAAGAAGTTATCCAATAATAATAAATATATTACTTTCTGAGAGCTTAAACTGTTTTCTTTATATCCTCTAGTTTGTACAATCATATAGCTGTAGGAGTACAAGCTGTGATTGGACAAAGTCATGAGGTATACTGGGACAGTATTGTGGGATGTTTGGAAAAATCAAGTTTTATTATTTTATAGGACCTTAATACTTTGTCCATTTCCCTTTAGTTTTGACAACGAACTCAATATGTCGAGGCATGCTTTCCATAACCTTTTGGCACTCCCCCTGCTTCATTTGGTCATACCAAATCTCGGTTACTCGCTCATAAAGTTCACTCATACACTTAGTTGCGGCTTCATACTCATTAAGACGCCTTTTCAACAAAGCCGACATGTTTTCGATGGGATTGAAGTTTGGAGGTTGTGGGGGCCACTCCATGACCTGGTATGATTGTTCCTGAAGGTAATCCTTGACCAAATTTGAGGTGTGTTTAGGATCATTGTCTTGCTGGAATATCGCTTGTTCACGGCGGAAGCCCAATTTCTCGATGGAAAAAGTGATAGTCTGCTCCAATTCGTCTTGAAGGATTTTCTTGTAGAGTGCTTTATCCATATTACCATTTATCATGCACTTCCAGCCAACACCAGCATACGTAATGGCACTCCAAAGTGTGATACTACCACCACCGTGTTTTACCGTGAGCTTGACATGGTGGTTTTGAAGCTGTTCATCAGATCGGATCCAGGCCCACTGTCGCCCATCTGAGTTGAAACGGTTAATGTTGGTCTTGTCTGTCCAAATAGCACGCTTCTAGTCGTTAACAGTTCAGTCCTTGTGCTGTTTACACCAAGCAAGTCTCTTTTTGACATTAGCGTGACTAAGCAAAAACTTCTTTTCCTTCTCGACAGCCCCTAAACCCGCAGTGTGGAGTGCTTTACGAACGGTTTCCGGATGAACCTTCATCTGAATAATTCTCTCCGACATTTTTGTGACCTTGACGGCGCTTGAAACCCGCTCCTTAGTTACCTTTCGAACATTATAGCGCTTGTCGGCTTCAGATAACACCCTTGGACGACCACCTTTCGAAGTTTCCAGACCCGGACAATGCTCCATTCTAATTCAACTTACCGAAAGACAGTTTCTCAGCAATTTTCCAAATTGAAACACCGCTTCGAAGCATTGTGATCGCAGAATTAACCTTGGAGACAGAAATGGTTTTTATGGCCTGATAATCGACCTACCTGATATTTAGAACTCCGATTTGGATAATGGAGACTTCTTGCGCTACATGAGGCTTTCCTATATGACACTCTCGAGGTTATTCCAAATTGTGGGTTTCAGTTACCACCAAATTTGTGATTTTTCAAAAGATCTCACAATACTGTCCCAATGTACCTAAAGACTTTGGCCAATCACAACTTGTGCTCCTACAACTATATGCTTGTACAAACTATGCGATATAAAGAAAACAGTTTTAGCTTTCAGAAAATACTAAATTTATTATTACCGAAAAACTTCTCGTCCGGCGGTAAGGTCTGAAAATTAAAATCGCTAAACATTGGGACAGTTTTGTGGGTCACGGTAGTTAACAACAAAGTTACAAGACTCTCGTTTTTTTAGCATTTGGCTCTATCTATCAAACATCAAGATTTATGTTACAATTCGAGGCAACCGCTTTAAAAATCAATACTCACGCCCAAAAACTCAAGCATTAGATGGAAAACAACATGAGCAACACATGTATCAAGTTCCTCACACTAAAGATATTCGGTAAAGCATATCAAGAATACATCATTATTTCAATCACTCCAACATTGACACTGGAATAAACAACATGCTAAAAAACTTCATGCGCAGCATTTGGAATTGCACAACCAATGAAGTCTACAAATTATACAGAGAAATTAAATGCTAAAATAATGAACAAAATCTTATCCTTACCAAGAATTACTTTACTTCGAACACCTTCAAAGTCTTTTCTCTAAATCAACATTTGACATCTTAATTTTTGGTACCTGTTATTGTAAGTTGGGGTTTTCAATCGGCCAAGGGGCTACAATTGCACAGAGATTAATTGGTTACCGCCTCCTAGAAATATTGATCTGGCCATCACCTGCTCCTCCCTTTTTGTTACCACAACAACGTACTGATTTATGAAGTGGTTCCGGTAAAGTGGACACTTAGACAAAGAGATGTAAATCGCACTACGGCCTAACTGATGTTCTCATGAGAACATGGATGTGCTCCTATGAGAACATTTTTTGAGAACATTGATGTTCCCATATGAGCAAGTTGAGCTTCCCTAAGACGAAAAATGTTCTCATAGGAGAGCATCCGCATTCCTAAAGATATTTTATAACCCGGTCGATGTTCTCATGAGCACAACAATATTCCCATCACTGTGACTAAAAAAGAGTCAAATTTTCCTGAATACATTTGAATTTGACTAATTTTTCTGAAATACCCCAAAAATGTCTTAAAAACCCTGAATTTGTCCCATTTCCCTTGTAACTGTTCAGGTATATTCATGCAAATGAAAAATGGTACATAAAGTTTGGAGAAGTTTGGAGTGATTTAATTTCTTTTAGATATCCAGCGATTTAGTACGAAACGATCTTCATCAGAAAAACGAGTAGTAGTCATTGCCACGCCATTTTTACTTCTTATTTGTCAACTGCTGGAGGTTCTTTGTTTTAAGGGAGCCGTGTTCCATTTTTTATTTAGAGTTTTCTGATTGTCGCAATAGGATAGGAAGAAGAAGGGAAGAAGATATATTACAGAGCAAGAGAAAGGAAACAAAATTAACTAGATATTATTATTATGAATGGAGATTCAGCTGCATCAGAGAAGTTGTGCTGAAAGATAACCAGCGCCTTTATCAAAAACGGCAGTGAGCTGCAGCGAGCACAATTGGCCAGGGCATGATTTGACAGTTTCTTCTCTCTACTTGGCGATGTTTTAGTGGAGTCGATAATGATGTAGAGTACTTGATCTGCCGATTGAAGTGAGATGTGTTGTAATATTTGCATAACATGGAAGCAATGAACGATGACAACTCCATGTCGCTGATATTCAATGATTTAAGAAGGTGATAGCAGTTTCTGTAGAGTCGTTGTCCAATCCAGTTATACTCCTTTTTTCATAACAGTTATATGCAATGACCAGCATGAGATTTTCCAAATAACTTTGATTGGTATTGAATAGCCATGTGAATATCTGTAGTAAAATCTAATAGTCCACATTGCATGCGTTTTAAACAGCATGATTGAAACATTAATGCCTGTGTTAGCGGATGTTCTTATTATTGGAAACATTAAAAGAGCTGTTTCTCTCTGTTTTTCATATATTATTACGCATTTATCACAATTGTTACAACCATCTCAACCTAGCATTGCTTTATTTTACATTTTACACTAGGCAATTATACAAATATGAATCAGGAAGGCAATTATTTCCAGAAATATTGGAAATATTGAACACGAGTTGTCTAATCTCAGCAAACAGGTCAAAGAATGTAATGACAACCAGATCGAAATAAAAGTTATACTACAGCAGATTGTTCAACAATCCACCTCTTCTAGCACGGTCAACGTTGCGAGACTAGATGAAATGATATGCTGTCCAAGCAAAGCTGATAATAAACATCTGGAGGAGCTTTCCGTTGAGCTATGCGTCAACGTCCTTGAGGAGCATCGCTTAGGTGGGAAAAAACTTGATGGCAAGAAGGTCTGCGAACTTGTCAAAGATGCATCATACAACCAGGCAAAAAAAGCTGATAGACAGTTCCCAAACGTCACTTTCTGCAAGCTGGACGAGAGATTTCAAGACTTGTTGGTCAAGACCGTCATCAATGATGTGTCCGAAAAGGGTGTTGACATCTCTAGGTTCTTTAAAGATTGGTTACCACGTTGTTGAACAGACAGAGAAGACACACGGGACTGAGACTTCAGCCACGAAGCAGTACCACCACCATGAACAACACGCAACAAATGATATACCTTTGACAACAGTAACGAGTTAGCCACTAGTCCTGCTCCCCTAATGGAGAGATTCCTTTGTTTCAACAAGTTACTGTGTCGCTGGACCTTCACCAAGACACCGTCAAGATAGTCTTGAAGTTGACTTTCAGTATGATACAAGGGATAACCCAAGTAACGTACTGCACCACGAGAGTGAGCATCATGCCACTGGAGACCAGTAGTTTCAGCCAAAGCGCGTCATACCATTAGTAGACTATAAAATCGGCCATTGAATTTTTCTTGACGAATATTTCCCCAACTAGAACGCGCACGCGATTTGCTCCCTAGAGGCCTACACAATACGTAAAGGTCATACAGTAAGAGACCTATACGTTATAAAAATACTTAGGGTACATACAACCTATGCCGATTTGTTTATAAATTATAATAAAAAATAAAACACAAATTTATGCATAATTACTAAACAACTTACAAACTAAAGTATAAATTTTAACGTATGCATTACAAAAAACTAAAATACAATTAATACTTTTTATTAAAAATTACAAATAATATATATAATGCTAAAATTTTATATTTAAATAAAAAAATTATTAATTAAAATACAAAAATAAAACTATAATAAATAAACTACACAATATAAATTATAAAACTTACATAAAATAATTATTTTTTTTATATTTTATGCAAAAAAAAAAATAATTATTTTTTTTAAATAAATTATATACTATGAGCTCTAAAAATTCAAAAAAGTTACCATATATTGTATAGGTCTGAGAGCCTACGGAACACATCGGATAATGAATTTTAGCACATATTAAGACCGCTTGGACGAACGTTGTCTTGTTGCATCTGTCGTAGATGCCTCAAGCAATGTTTTGTGCAAAGTGGCCAACATCTATGGTCCAGCGCAGTCTTCTGACCGTCCTTCATTTATCTCTGATTTTCTCTCCCTTTCTGTTTGGTCTGATGTGTTCAACACACCTTGGATGGTTATGGGTGATTTCAACATTCACTTGCACTCTCTGTCTACTTCTCGTCAAGCCGATGTCGCTCCTTTTGTTCACTGGTTGCGTACTCACTTTGTCAATTGTCATCCGGATGGTTTAGCCACGTTTCCAAAGAGCAATACTTGTATTGATTACATCTTTGGTCACTCTTCTCTTGCTCCTCGTTTGACTAATAGTCAGTTCCTATATATGCCTAGTAGGTGGACGGATCACTCTCTTTTGACTGTTGAAATGTTGCCTGCGACAGCTAGTATTGGTCCTGGTAGTTGGCGGTTCAATCCAACTCTGCTTGATGACAAGGAATTTGTTGCGTTGTTGAATGCCACGGTGTCATTGTTCTTCTCTGGTGCTGTTGGTGGTGGGTCTAAGGGTGTCAATACTAGTCAAGGTAGTAGTGGTGACTCTGAAAGCACGGTGGCTAGATGGGAATCCTTCAAGTTGTTACTAAAGTGCTGTGCACAAAAGTACACTAGAAGCATGAAAGCACGATTCAAGAACAAAGTTTTTACGCTTCAACTGGAACGTATTAGGGCTCTGTCGACGTCTGTATCGGGTGTTGAGACTAGGAATGCTATTGGTCAAACTGACAAAGTGTCTACTGCTTCAGGTGATGCTGAGCAGCAGGTCAGGCAACTAGAAGTTTTGATTGAGAATCAGATACAGAAAGAGACTAGTCAGAATATGCTTCGCTCTGCCACTCGTTGGTTAGAACAGGGAGAACGTAGCAACAAGTATTTCTATCGTTCGATCAAGGTGCGAGAGTCTCAACAGACAATTCAATCCTTGAAGTGCTCTACTACTGGGGATATCTTGGTGGAAGCAGCAGCTATCAACAGGGAGGCACAAGGTTTTTACCAAAGGCTATATACCCCTGATGCTGTCGATGCTGAAGCTGTCGATACTCTCCTGGGGAATGTTCCAACTGATGTACGTCTATCATCTTTGGATGGTGATATGCTAATGGAACTTCCAACTCGCGATGTTTTGTTGTCTTTGCTCACTCATGCTCCCAAGTCTAAAAGTCCTGGTCTTGACGGTTTGCCTTTTGAATTGTATCAATATCTTGCTGGTGTTTCTACTGATTTTCTTGACTTGCTTGTGGATGTGTTGGGTGCAGCTTTTT